TGGTAGGGAATTGTTGTGTGTCATTGAGTTAGAACTGGGCCATACCTGACTCTCCAGCAGGCTTTTGTTGTTAGGTACCCCTGAGTTGAGGACAACTCAGAGCAACCCCTGGAACAATAGATATGAACTCTGTCCTATCTGGTGCCATCCTCATCATCTCACATTTGAGCTGACTGCTACAGACATTGCATCAATCCATCTATCTTACTGAGGGTCTTCCTCTTTTTTGCTGATCCACCACCTTAACAAGCATGATGTCCTTCTCTAAGGAATAGCCTCTCCTAACAACATGTCCAAAATATATAAGACAAAGCTTCACCAACTTTGTCTCCAACTAACATTTCAGTTGCACTTTCTCCAACACATATCTGTTTGTTATTTTGGCAGTCCATGGGATATTCAACACTCTCCTCCAACAACACAACTCAAATGCACTGATACATTTTCTATCTTCCAGCTCTCATTGTCCAGCTCTTAGATATATATATAGCAGGTGATTAGAAAGATCTGTGGCCTGAATTAGGCACACCTTAGTTTTCAGACTGACATCATTGCCTTCAGGACTTTGGAATGGTCCCTGACAGCAGATTTTCCCAATGTGGTACGTCTCCTCCTGAATGTTGCTACCAAGGGTGTCGACTGTGGATCCAAGCAAGATGACATTATTGATAATTTCATTTTTTTCCTCCATCAGCGTGATGTTGCCTGTTGGTCAAGTGGTGAGGATTTTTGTCTTCTTGATATTGAGATGGAATCCATATTGAAGGCTGCAGTCCTTGATCCTCTGCAGCAAGTGCCTCAGGTCCTCCTCACTTTGAGCAAGCAGGGTTGTGTCACCTGCATAATGCAGGTTGTTGATAAGCCTTCTTCTGATCCTGATACCACCCTCTTCTTCATAAAGTCCATCTTCTCTGCATACAGTATGCTCAGCATACAGACTGAATAGGTATGAAGAGAGGCTACATCCCTGACACACCTTTCTTGTTTTAAAACCATGCAGTGTTTCCCTGCTCTGTTCAGACAACAAGTTCTTGATCTAGCTATAGATTTCATATAAGCACAAATTGCACAGGAGGAGATTGCCCATACTTCTCCTGTGGTGCAGCTGATGGATTGAACCACCTAGCTATATGGGTTGGCAGCACAGTCCTGTATGCACTAGGCTGCCAGACGTCCCTGTTGGGGATCTGCGAGAGCTGTCTTCAGAATCCAGAGACAAGAGGCCAAATTTTATTTTGTCCGGTAAAGAGACTCAGCAGGGATCTAGGTAAGGTGCTGTATTGTGTTGGCTTGGGCTGGTGAGGAGTCGGAGCAGAGAGATCTGCTTGCACTGAGTACTGAGGAGTGGATGTTGGGGCTTAGCAATGGATGGAAGAGTAGGAAGAAGAGTCATGGCTTAGAGCACGGTGGATAGTGGGAGAGTGCTGGATGAAGAGCTGTTTGGGGGCAGCCTCCTGGGGCAGCGCCCTGGGGCAGCAGCTGCCCAGGAAATGCAGGATGAACACCTCTCTGGGTTTCTCACTGCTCCTTTGCCCACACAATAACCTTTTACTTGAGAAACTTGGCCCTGACACCCAAACAAATATATGCACAACCATGTTTATTGTTTATTGTTCACAATAGCAAAGACTTGGAAACAACTCAAGTGCCCATCAACAAATGAATGGATAGAGAAGTTTTGGTATATTGACACAATGGAATATTACATTGAACTTATGAAATATACAAAATGGGTGACCACAGGGGACATTATGCTGAGTGAATTATCTCAGTCACAAAAAGGCAAATACTGCATAGTGCCATTGTTATAAAACAGGATTGACATGGGGGTTGGGAGGAAACTAAGAAAAGAGGGGATACATAATGTACATGGCATTGAAACAGATGAGAGAGAATATATGATTAGGTATTGCTATGACAAGAGTCCAGAATGAGAGCTGCATAGTAAAGTGTTCAGGGTAGACATGACACCATATAACAATTAAAGAATTTTTTTTTTCCAAAGAAAAGAGCAAACTTGGCAGGGGAAGGAGGGGCAGGGAGGAAAATGTGCAACAATGAATGAATGGAAATCCAAGTTCTTTATAAACTTTCAGTAAAATCTAAAAAAAAAAAGAAGAAACTGGCCTAGGACCTTACAACAAACCCCACAATAGCAGGAACTCAAGGTTGGGGTTGGGGTAGAGTCTACCAAGGAAACCACATTCATTTCAAACTGGGGACACAGGCATTGTGTGGTATGCTCTGGGAGGAGATGTCCCAGGGCAGACACCATCTAGTCCGTCTTGATATTCTAGACATCCAGCCACCCACCTGGGTCACCTGGGGCCAAAAGTGGGAAGAGGTGGCCCGGTGATGACTCTGTGTGAGAGCTGTGGGCACAGTCAGAGCCCCGCACCTCCTCAAAGCCCAAGGTGAAGAGATCTTACAAGACGGTTCCTCCTCAGTATTAAGAAATCCATTGCTGTTGAGTGCATTCTAACTCCTGGACACCCTCCATTGGGTTTCTGAGGCTGTAACTCTTTTTATGCCATTGAGTAGTTGGTGGTTTTGAACTGCCAATCTTTCTGTTAGCAGGTACATTATAAGCATTATGAAAGGGCTCCTTTCAGTCTTAAAGTATTGGAAATCAGACCAGAAAAGGAGGAAGAGAGAGGATGAAAGCTTCTAGAAGCTTAGGGAGGAAGATTAGCTGAATTTTGAAAGGACGTAAGGTAGAGGGGCAGCAGTAGGGAGTTGGGGGCATTTACCCGGACCGAAGAATGCGTAAATGAACAAACGACGACCATGTTTCAGACCTCTGTTACCCAAAGTCTTGAGATTAGAAAAGTCACACTCCTCTCGTATAGCTAGCTGGTAAGGTGGTGCCTCTCTGGAGGTTTGAATTCACTAGCGACTCCACTGGACAAAGATGGGCCTCAAAAAAACCCTGCTGGAGTGCTCCGCTAAGACCCTCGACGGCAATCAGCTAAGTGTGAGTACTCACAGGGCAGGAAAAGCTAGTTTCCATCCTCTAGTTAAAACTTGAGGTGTAAGACTTCGACGAGCTAGAAGGTCGTGAGTACACACATCCCGGCTCCTGCTAAAGCCAGGCTTAGCGCCGGGGAAGGCCCCGCCCCCTCCCCGCCCCGGCCCCGGCCTCTCCCCGCCCAGAGGCCACGCCCATCTCCCCTTCCCGGCCCCGCCCTGGCCTCTGGTCTGCGGGCGGACTCCGTGGCGCCGCCGGCCAGCGCCTCCGCCTTCCAGAATCCCGGCGGGCGGAGTTGAGGGTGAGGGGCGGGATGTTTTGAGGGGGCGGGGGTCCCGATGACGACATCGGAGCGCGCCGCATTGGGTCTCAGAAGCTGACTGCACGGCCCGGGAGCAGCACCTATACCCCAGCAGGTGGGTGCTGCCCAGGAGGGAGGTGGGCAAGATCCTGGGGTCTCGGGGAGGCGCGCTCGCCCCCTCCCTGGGCAGCCCTGGGCGGAGTGGGCCCGGAACCGGGGGCCGGGAGATCCCTACTTGGGCAAGGGGAGCCCCCGTCCTTGCCCCCTGGTCCCCCGGAGGCCCTTCCCTGGGAGGCAGCGCTCGGGTTCCCGAAATCAGAGGACAGAGAGGCCAGCTTCGGGCCGGGCCAGGAGGAGCGAGCGCGAGGCTGTCGGGGCTCCGCCCGCGTTTGTAATCACTTCACTAAACTTTACGGGAGTCCCTACCCCCGGCGCTCTGGCCTCCGATCGTCTGCTCTCGACTCACCAGTTGTCCGAGCACCGTGGGGAGGGATGCCCGACGCTGGGGCGCTTGACTTGGGGCTCCTGGAGCGTAGTGGAGGTGCGCCAAGTCCGCTCCGTACTGCGTGGCCCTGTTACCTCCATATCCCCAGGGCTGGACACTCAGCAGGGGTTGAATGAAAGCTTGGAGGAACGAACGAATGAACAGTTAAGTGTGCAGAGAAGTGAAACGTTAGAGGTGCCTTGGGCCTGAGGATGGGGTGAGGAATACCCTACAGTGTGACGGATGGGCAAGATTTTTTGGGTGAAGATGATACATTTTTCTTACTGGGCAGCTACTGAGTGCTGAGCCGTGCCCTGGAGATACTGCTCAAGAGGGACAAAGGGTGTCCCTGTCGCTAAACTCTCAGTCTGGAAATAACACCGGAGAGTAGCCAGTGACTGACTGATTGGAGGCGAGGACAGGCACTGAGGAGGACAGAGCAGAGCCTAGAAACTGAGCTTGTCCCTTAGCCCCTTGAAGAAGAAGTTCAGCCTGAGCTTGAGGGGGAAGGGGGCTTTGGCCGAAAGAGTGGGCAGACAGAGACGACCTGAGGTTACAGGAAGAGGTGCCAGGTCAAGGTGTGCAGGGTCAAGGTTGATGTTCTGAATACCAAGGACAATGGGGAGCCTTTGGGGCTGCGGGGTGGTGAGGACAGTATCATTTGCTTTTTTGAAAGATGTCCCTGTCTTTTGCGGTGAAGGGGCCAGGGGAACAGAGACCAGAGAGAAGACTGGTAAAACCATCCTGTGAGAATGTCCCTGCCCACGTCAGGATAGGAGAAGCAGGCGGGAAGGTCTTTCAGGAGAGGGATAGGCAAGATTTGGTGGTGGGAGTCTGGTCGTGTGTGTGGACAAAGGCAGGGGCCATGGAAAATCCAGGAGGATTTTAGTCACTGGAGGAGTGTGGGTGTACTGGATATGTGTGTGTGTGTGTGTGTGTGTGTGTGTGTGTATTCAAGGAGATGGGTTGCAGGGGAAGAGTTAGGGTCTTCTTTTGAGGTGATATAAACCATGCATTACTGCTATGTGGGACTGTAGTGCATCCCCTGCATCATTTGGGCCCCAGCTTGGGTGCATGGGACTTTGTGAACTTTGGCCACCATCCCCTCAGTCCCCCCAAGGTTGGGAGCTGCAGGATCTGGCTCCAGGTCCCCAGCAATCAGATGCGTCCAGTTCTGGAGTCCAGGTGCTAATGACAGGGACCTCTTCTCTCAGCAGGGCCAGGAGCAGCCCTTGGACCCTGTCATCATGGGGCTGGAGGCACAGAAGCCCCCAGGGGCAGAGGAGGCCCCGGTGAGAGTGGCCCTTCGAGTCCGCCCACTGCTACCCAAGGAGTTGCTGCATGGGCACCAGAGCTGCTTGCAGGTGGAGGCCGAGTGTGGCCGTGTCACCCTGGGCCGGGACCGCCATTTTGGTTTCCATGTGGTGCTGGCAGAGGACGCTGGGCAGGAAGCTGTATACCAGGCCTGTGTGCAGCCCCTCCTGGAGGCTTTCTTTGAGGGCTTCAATGCCACTGTCTTTGCCTATGGTCAGACAGGCTCTGGAAAGACGTACACCATGGGAGAGGCCAGTGTGGGTGAGTGTCCCTGAGGGAAGGGAGAGGTCCTGGGGTGTGTGTTGGGGGTAGGGGAGATGTTTACACAGAGATCTGCAGCCCAAGGTGGGACCAGTCATGTCATTGGGCCAGGCTGGGCTGAGCAGGTAAAATCGATCCTTGGAGCTGAGAGGCCTTCTCAAGTCTGTAGAGATGAGGTAAGACCTCTTCAGAAGTCAACAGCGTAGCTGCCAGAGATCAGGAATCCAAGTTCTAGTCAGGCAGCTGAGAGGGGAGAAAGTTTGTCCTGGAAGAAAAGGACTTTGGCTAATGGGAGCAGGGAGATTCCTTGGTGAAATTTGGGAGAGGGATACTGTATTCATGGAAGGGATTGCCCCTTTTTATGTAACACAAACTGCTTTCTCTTAAGTTGCACAGTTGTTTTGTGGTAGAAAATAGAGGAAAAAGCACACAAAAAATAATAACTTTGTCCTGTCTTCCAGAGAGCTTGCACCCTGTTAGCTTTCAGTTGCTTTGTCTGTGAAGATGATAGACTTTTCAGAGAAGGAATTCTATTATACGCGTCATTTTGTAGCTTGCTTTCGTTAATTATTACTTTATCATGGGCTTGTTTCCATGTCACTAAGTGTTCATCGTTCTGGTGTTTTAATGGCTAGCTGGCATTCCATTCTGAAAAGAAAGTAATTTTTTCAACCAGATGCCCTATTGTATCTTGTTGTTAGTGCTGTCAAGTTGGCTATGACTCGTGGTGACTGTAAGGGCCACAGATGGGGAACTTGCCCTACAGTCACTGTCAGTCCATCTTACTGGGGGTCTTTCTCTTTTTGTCTAACCCTCCATCTTTCTCAGTGTGATGCCTTTTTCTAAGAACTGAGCCCTTTTAGGAGGCATTTTTTAAAAAAAAAAAGAAAGAAAAAGAAAAATTATGAAGAGTGCTGTTTTGATTATCTCCCAACTGCTTCCATCCTTGGGATGAATTTAAAAGGAATTTTACTTAGGTAATGGTTTAGTGTGTTTGTTAGGCTGTTAACTGAAAGCTTGGAGGTTTGAATCTACCAGCTGCTGTGTGGCAGACAGATGAGGCAGTCTCCTCCCCTTAAGATTTAGAATTTTGGAAACCTGATGGAAGTCACCATGAGTTGTAAATGACATGATGGCAGTGTGCTTGATTTTGGGTAGTAACTGCTTAAAGGCAATGGTTGTGAAGTTTCTTTTACAAGGAGCAAGTCAGTGGTGTCTGATCTTCTGTTGGGATGTGTGAATGGGATGCTTGCATCCTGAAAGGGCTGGTTATACAGCTGAGTTCGATAGCCTGCCCCAGCCAACCCCTGGCCACTGTGGAGCATGGCCTGGCTCCGGCTGCCCAGCCCATCGTGGCTTCTGCCGCTGCCTTCTCCACACTGGAGTTGCATCCTCCAGCCTGTTGTAGCAAGGTGGCAGGAGGCCTTTGCTGTCTCCCCAGCTTCTCTCCATGAGGATGAACAGGGCATCATCCCTCGGGCCATGGCTGAGGCCTTCAAGCTGATTGATGAGAATGACCTGCTTGACTGTCTGGTGCACGTGTCCTACCTTGAAGTATACAAAGAAGAGTTCCGAGACCTGCTTGAAGTGGGCACTGCCAGCCGGGACATCCAGCTTCGGGAAGATGACCGAGGGAATATTGGTAGGACCCCTGTCCCCTTCCCTCAGCAGGACTGGAGTGGGGCACCAGGCTTAAGGTGGTTTCATTCTCTGAGAGGGATCTTACTGCCCAGGGTGGTGTTGTTGTTAGGTGCCTTTGAACCAAGTACAACTCATAGCGACCCTGTGAACAACAGTTCTGAATTCTGCCCTACCCTGTGCCATTTTCACACTTCCTGACACACAAGAGCCCATTGCAGCAGTCACCGTGTCAGTCCACCTGGTCGAGGGTCTTCCTCTCCTTCTCTGACCCTCCATGTTTCCCAGCATCATACCTCTCCAAGGAATAGCCCCTTATTTGGCTCTGTCTCCAGAAGCTCTATGTATACTTCTGCTTCCAGAGGGAGTTACAGGGGTGGGGATAGCGGGTAGAGCTTAGTCCCTGAAGCTCACGCTGATGTGACCGACACCGTGGGCGTGGAGAGAAGGCACCCGGGCTAGGAGGAACAGAGAGGGGACTAGGCCCACCTAGCTGTCCTGCGTGCCTGATCAGTGCGGGGCGGCTGCTGCCCTGGTCTCAAGGCCGCTCTGCCCGCAGTGTTGTGTGGGGTGAAAGAGGTGGACGTGGAAGGCCTTGACGAGGTGCTGAGCCTGCTGGAGATGGGCAATGCAGCGCGGCACACGGGGGCCACGCACCTCAACCGACTCTCCAGCCGCTCCCACACGGTCTTCACTGTGACCCTGGAGCAGCGTGGACGAGCCCCCAGCCGCCTGCCCCGCCCTGCCGCTGGCCATCTGCTGGTCTCCAAGTTCCACTTTGTGGACCTGGCGGGCTCCGAGAGGGTGCTCAAGACGGGCAGCACAGGCGAGCGGCTCAAGGAGAGTATCCAGATCAACAGCAGCCTCCTGGCACTGAGCAACGTCATCAGCGCCCTGGGCGACTCCCAGCGTAGGGGCAGCCACGTTCCCTATCGAGACTCCAAGATCACCCGGTGAGCGCCCCTTTCTGTCATCTGCTGTACAAGCCCCTCTGACTTCCGGAGACTCCTGTCCCAGGCCAAGGCCATGCAGGGGACTCAAGCCTGATTCCAAGCTTGGGGTGGCTTTGCACATTGTGGCCCCTTGACACCCTTTATCCTCGGCATCCTCAGGATCCTCAAAGACTCACTTGGGGGTAATGCCAAGACCGTGATGATCGCCTGCGTTAGCCCCTCCTCCTCCGACTTTGATGAGACGCTCAACACTCTAAACTATGCCAGCCGGGCCCAGAACATCCGCAATCGCGCCACCATCAACTGGCGGCCAGAGGCCGAAAGGGCGTCAGAGGAGGTGGTGGTGGCTGGAGTGCGTCCCCCGCGGCATCGCTCGGAGACACGCATCATCCACCGGGGCCGGCGTGGCCCAGCAACCGCCGCCGCACACCCTGTGGCCGCCCGCCCAGAGGCCGAGTGCGCGCGCTGCCGGGCCCGCGCTGACGCGGCCTGCAGCCTCCTGCGCCAGCTGCAGTCGGAGCCCGGGCTGCCCGGCGCCGCTGCGCGCAAAGTGCGCGACTGGCTGTGCGCAGTGGAGGGGGAGCGCAGCGCGCTGAGCTCCGCCTCTGGGCCCGACAGCGGCATTGAGAGCGCCTCTGCCGCCGAGGACCGGACCGCGCCGGGGCCGCGAGGGCGAAAGGTGGCCAAGGGCGCCTGACTGCGCCACCACTCCGGGAGTGGGGAGAGGAAGGGGCGGCTGAGAGAGGGGCTTCGCACATCCAACTGCAACTGGCTGCCTGGCCCTTAGCAGGGCGCATTCAGAATTCAGTCACTTATGCTGATGACCTTAGTCACACTTTTCTTAACCTCATTATGGGCCCTGAGGTCCCCTTTGTATGATAGGGATAACCAACCACCTGGCGATATTATTAGGGCTGAATGCAGAAGCAGAGCTCAGCATGCTAGTGAAGATTTAAGTTGTTCTTACAGCAGCGTTATTATTATTGATAAAAGTATGATTAATTACTAGAAGTGGATAAATAGACTTTCAGAAGGGACCCTGGACCGGTGAGGTCTGGGTTGTGTATGCTCCTCGCCCTTCATCTGGAGCGCCCCCTGCAGGCGTGACTTGGAACAGTAAGCAGTAGTGGCAGGAGAGCTGGTGGCAGGGTGGAGTGGGCCCTGTGTCCCAGGGGAAGACTTGCCTGGGCAGCCCCACTCTGAAACCTCACTGCCTGCCCCCACAGGAAGATGAGGGGGCGCAGCAACTGCTGACACTACAGAGCCAGGTGGCTCGGCTGGAGGAGGAGAACCGAGACTTCCTGGCTGCGCTGGAGGACGCCATGGAGCAGTACAAACTGCAGGTGGGGTCACCTGGAGCCGGTGAAATCTGAACTGGGATAGGAAGGGGGAATTTGTGGAGCTGGCTGGCAGGGCATGTAGAAACGGATGAGATGAGTGGAACGTAGAGGTTAGGGATAGAAACAGTGTGGATGGGCTGCCAGGGTGGGCTGTTGGGTAGCACAGCTTTGCTGGATGGTAACGAGCAGCACCATGGTAGATGGGACAGCGGGATGCGAGGGTGCATCCTAGTCCTTGGTGACAGGACTGACCCTTAGTTGTTTCCGCCCCCTGGTGGCAGTCGTCGGAAGTGGAGGGCTGGCAGGAAGGGTGAGCTGGGTGGAGTGAGAATTTAAACCCGAATGAAATGGTGATGGAGGCTTTCTCGTAACTGGGGGAGATTGCCCATCTTTCTCTTGCGGAGCAGCTGGTGGATTCGAACCACAACGCATGCCTGTGAGTTGGCAGTGCAACAAGGCATCACAGCTCATGTTGGTTTTAGTTACATCTTTGGTCATCTCTGGTCCGACCCTACAGACCTTGGTACTTCCCTAGCCCAGTCTCCCACGCTGCCTGTGTGAGTTTGAGGCGTTCCATTCCTCTGAATTTGACTTCCACAGGCCTTGTTGTGTGTGTTTTAGCCCAAAGGAGGCCGGATGACCACAGTCCTGCTCTTACGTTTTCCGCCTGTTGCTGAGCGTCCCTGACCCCTCTGTGTGTCCCCATCGTCACCCTGGCTGTCTTACAGAGTGACCGTCTGCGTGAACAGCAGGAGGAGATGGCAGAGCTGCGGTTGCGGTTGGAGCTGGTGCGGCCTGGCTGGGGGGGCTGCGGGCTTCTGCAGGGCTTGCCTCCCACATCTTTTGTGCCCCGGCCTCACACAGCCCCCCTGGGGGGTGCCTACGCCCATGGGCTGGGCACGGTGCCCTCTGCCTGCCTTCCTGGAGATGACGCTGATCCTGAGCAGTGGGGAGAGGTGAGGAGGTGGACGCAGTCTCTGTGCTGGGCGAAGACCAGCTCTGAGAAGTCAGATGGTTCTGTTGGTGTCCCTAAAAGAAAGTCTGGGATTTAGGGACTGTTGAGCCTCCAGAGGGGTCAGGTGGGGTGGCTGGAGATTGCTTGGGGTGAAGAAGTTGTGGTTTCTGGTAGTGAATGGGAAGTTGCAGGAAGTTGCCATATTCCACAGAGAGAACACTCTGAATGGCTCTCTGCACATTTGCTTTTCCTTTGAACCTTCATCTGTCTCTGAGCCTTGGTCGCCTGCTCAGGTTTTTCCAAATGGGTTCTTTTGGACAGCTTCTCCCACATCTGCTTAAAAACTTCTGGGTCTCTCAGCTCTAAAGACCCGGGGGCTGTGGGGGGCGACTTGGGTTTGCGACTTGGGGGACACACAGCTGTCATCTCCACTCATACACATATCTTTTGGGTGAGGTAAGATAGACTTGAGTGCAGACAGCTTGTTCTTAAGGTACAATCGGTATCATAAGAGGAGTCCCTGGTGTTCTGGGAGCTGGGGTCAAGGAGGAAGCACTAGCCTCTACCTAGGTGGAAAGACTTCCTGTGAGGTGTCATTCGAGCTAGATAGTGAAGGTAGACAGGGCTGGGCGGAGGCAGAGATGGGGGGCGGGGCGCGCGCAGCAGGCATGGCGCATGTGCATAGTGGGGTTGGGTGGGAAATGGACTGATAAGGACACCCGAGGTACCTGCTGTGAAACCCGACCCTCCCTGACAGCTGACCGGTGACAAGCAAGTTGGCACCAAGTTGGTGGAGGTGGACAGGCTAGGGAGCAGTTCATCAACCACCTCAGAGGAGGAGGAGGAGGAGGAGGAGGCACCCCAGAGGACCCTGCACCAGCGCAGGTGAGTGGGATCTACCCCCGCCTGCTAAGCGCCAGGCCCGGGTGAGGTGGAATTTAGCTGTTTCCTCCCCTGGCAACCATGCATGCCACACTGCTGTGCCTCTCAGGTCTCGGGGTACCTTCTCTACAGCCTTTCAGCTGGTCCTGGAGGGAGAGCAGGCAGGGCTTGGATTCACGGTCAAGTAGGAGGTCTGGGGGAGCCTATGTTGCCCCAGTTGCCAGGAGTCTCCAAGGGGCAGAGTTCTGTGAGACTTGCATTCTGGGTTTATGTTTGATGCTGGAGGATGAGGGCCTCGTGGCCTTCCTTTCTCCCTCCTAGCCTGGGAAGTGACCGAGCAGGGGTAGGGACTGGGGAGGGGTGCAGCCTCCTTCTTCCACCTTCCAGAAATGGGATCAGCAGCTGGAGCCGGAAGATGGGGGCCCATTCAGGGAGTCCATCCGACAAGAAGGGCCCAGAGCTTCGCCTCGAGGAGCTGGGTGCAGCCATGCCAGGGCCCAGAGGTGAGCTGAGTGGGGTTTGCTCTGACCACCTGGTTGGTATGGCTGCCCAGCCATCACTCCTACCCAGGCCATGTTCTCCCCACCCCTTCTGGTCTTTTCTCACTATCAGCTTGTCTGTTGCAGCGGTTGTTGGGAGCCAAGCCCCGACAAGGCCTCGCCAGGCCCCCGCTGCCACAGCTTCTGAGTGGCGGCTGGCGCAGGCGCAGCAGAAAATCCGGGAGCTGGCCATCAACATCCGCATGAAGGAGGAGCTCATCGGAGAGCTGGTCCGCACAGGTGCTTCCGTGGGCATCCGGGGAGGGGGGCTCCACTCGTGCATGGCTTCCCGTTCATGGCCATGGCGTCTCTGCTGTCTTAGGGGCCACTCTGGTGACCTGGTCTAGAGACAGTTGTACGGCTAACTAAAGGGCGCCCCTCTCTGGTGGTTTGATACTACCAGCATCTTCATAGGAAATAGATGGGCAGTGCCCTCTCGTGTGATTCACAGCCACAGAAACCAGGTGGAACACCAGCTCTGTATTGATTCTGACTTGCAGAGTTGTCAGTGTGGAAGGGGGAAGGGCTGTGGATAGTGCAGTGGTTTAAGTACTCAAATGCTAAGCAAGAGGGCAGGGATTCGAACTCACCAAATGCTCTACTGGAGCAGCATGTGGCAGTCTGCTCCTGTGAAGATGAGGGCCTTTAGGGAAAGATTGGGAAGCCTTGGAGACCTGGGACGGTTCTTGTCTGGTTGCTACGAGTCAGCACTGTCTTGATGACAGTGGGTTTTCAAGGAGCCAGGGCTCTCAAGCCACGGGGTGGTGGGTGGGTTCCTGGCTCAGCCCCTCCCCACAGGATGGCCACTCACCCAGTTAGTTTTCTGGAATATTCCAGAAAATTCTGTGTTTACATGCTTTCTTTGGTTGGCACTTAATGTGCTCCTCTCCCATATTTCCTGCAAATGGAGATTTGTTCTGGAGGCTTAGTTGTGAGCAGGCTCAAGTTATGTATTTCTATTAATGTACACTAGGGGGAAAAAAACACTGGTAACCTGTAATTTCCTAGTGTCAGCACTGAGAGTGAGGTTAATGAAAAAATGAGTTGATTTAAAGAAAAATGTTGAGCCATTCACAGTAGTGGTGGCACTGAGGCTTGGTAAGGTCTGTGCAGGTGCTGTAACAGAGGGATCTGCAGGGGCTCCCAGGGTAACGACAGGCTCACCAGGGAGGGGGCGGCATGCTGACACAGCACCACTTCCAGGGAAGGCTGCCCAGGCCCTGAACCGCCAGCACAGCCAGCGCATCCGGGAGCTGGAGCAGGAGGCTGAGAGGGTGCGGGCCGAGCTGAGCGAAGGTCAGAGGCAGCTGCGGGAGCTGGAGGGCCGTGAGCCTCAGGACGCTGGTGAGCGTTCCCGGCTCCAGGAGTTCCGCAGGAGGGTCGCCGCTGCCCAGAGCCAGGTGCAGGTCAGTGTTAGGGCCGGGGTGACGGCTCTGGCCTCCCAGACATGGGACCCAGGGATCAGGGCTTTGTGGGGTCCTCCGGACTGCATCCCTGGCTGGTGATGTACACTCCCTCCATGTTCCCAGGGTGGGGCTGGCAGCATAGGGGGCTGCCTTAACCCCTGCATCAGAGACAACTGGTGAAGGGGGCCCTACCTGGTGAGGGGGCACCTGAAGAAAGTCCACTCTGCATCACACAGCCCTCCTCTCCTGCTACATGTCTGTCCACTCTCCCTTCTGTCTGTTCACTCAGTCCTCCATTCCATCACCCCTCTGTCCACCTGTCAGTCCTTGTCATTCAGTCCATCCATCTGCTTATCCCTTTATCAGCTCATGTGACCAACTGTCCATTTATCCATGTATCCCTCCACCATTTGTGTCAAGACATACATTATCTGTCCATCCTGTTTTCGCTTTCCTGTCATCCCACCCTCTGTCCGCTGACCCCTCCATCACAAGAGACAACACAAGCAGAAAGGTGGGCGCTTGAGCTCTGGAGCCAGACTCAGTTCCATTTGTTAAATATCCTTGGTCACATTCTCTAACCTCTTGCCTCAGTTTTCTAATCTGTAACATAGTTGTTGTATACCAACCCATAGCTGATCTTCCAGTGGGTTTTCAGAGACAGTCAATCACATGGAAGGAGACTGCCCATCCTTCTGCCATGGAGCAGCTGGTGGATTTGAACCACGTGCCTCTGAGATGGCAGCACAACTTCTTACTACTAACTAAGTAATCATACCTTTTCATAATGTTATTAGGATTATTTAATGCATACGAAGCACTTCATCCAGGGCTTGGAAAATACCTCAGAGGCATCGTTGTTGTCAGGTGCCATCGAGTTGACTGCCATGAACAATGGGTCTGAACCTTGTTCTGTCCTGTCCCATCTCCACCATCTCTGATGTGCTCGAGCCCCTTGTTATGGTCACGCATGTCCACCTACCTTCTTGAGGGTCTTTAGTATGATGTCCTTGTCCCAGGACTGGACCCTCTCAGCCCAAAGTATGTGAGAGGCAGCTTCCCTATTCTTGCCTTTAAGGAACACTCTGGTTGCTTCCTCCAAGGCAGACTTGTTCTTTGAGGCACTAGCTGCCAGTACTGTTAAGGGTCCCGCAGCCGCCCACCTGCTTTTTCACCTGTCTGTCTGCCTGTCCATTCACTCTCCCCTGGGGAGCGCCAGGCTCTCGTGGTAGCCCCTGGTGACCCAGCGGAGGTGTTGTCGGTCCCAGGTGCTGAAGGAGAAGAAGCAGGCGACAGAGCGGCTGGTGTCCCTGTCGGCACAGAGCGAGAAGCGGCTGCAGGAGCTGGAGAGGAATGTGCAACTCATGCGGCAGCAGCAGGGCCAGCTGCAGAGGCGGCTGCGCGAGGAGACGGAGCAGAAGCGGCGCCTGGAGACGGAGATGAGCAAGCGCCAGCACCGCGTCAAGGTGGGGCCGCCCCTCGGGCTCAGGAAAAGTAGCCTCTCCGAGTTTGTGTTCTCATCCGAAAATGAAGCCAGTGCTAGGAAGTTCCAGGCGAGAGTGAGATTGTGGTGGCAGGGTGCCTGGCATCCTGTGGCAGGCAGGGACATGCTTGCTTCTGTGTACCTGCCCTGGGGATGTGGAGGGGATGAGGCTGGGGGTAGCCGGCAGGGCCGTGTCAGGAGGTGGGGCAGTCCTGCGGGCTTTGGTGAGGTGCCAATGCCATTAGTAGTCCTGCACTTCCAGGAGCTGGAGCTGAAGCATGAGCAGCAGCAAAAGATCCTCAAGATCAAGACGGAGGAGATCGCTGCATTCCAGAGGAAGCGGCGCAGCGGCAGCAACGGCTCCGTGGTCAGCCTGGAGCAGCAGCAGGTGGGACCCCGGCGGAGGGGGCGGTCAGCAAGGTGGGGCGAGCGCTGGGCTGAACCTGCACTCGGAGACCCCCTCAGGCTGGCCGGGCCCCATGGCCCATACCCAGGGCCTTCAGGGGGCGGCTGGGGTACATAGACCCTTCCCCTGGTTGGACTTTGGCCTGGAGAGTCAGAGGTGAGAACTGAGCCCCCTCCTGCCTGCCCTCTTCTCAGAAGATTGAGGAGCAGAAGAAGTGGCTGGACCTGGAGATGGAGAAGGTCCTGCAGCAGCGCCGGGCGCTGGAGGAGCTGGGGGAGGAGCTGCACAAGCGGGAGGCCATCCTGGCCAAGAAAGAGGCCCTGATGCAGGAGAAAACGGGGCTGGAGAGCAAACGGCTGAGGTCCAGCCAGGTGAGGCCTTGCCGGGGGAGACCTACTCAGTGAGGTCCTTCCGGGTGATGCTCCCACCGGTGAGGGTCCCCGACGTGGTCTCCTGTCAGGTGAAGCCTGGCCAGAGGAAGTTTTCCTGGGCTACGGTCCATGGATCCTCAGGAACCCCAGGGCTTTAGGACTCTGTGAGGCTGGGGTTGAGGAGCTTCTTCAAGTGTCCATCTCACAGCCATTTCTCCCATTAACCACCTTTTCTGGGTCTGTGCAGGTAGAATAAAGAGCAGCAAGTATGGAAAGGTGGTGTGGCAAGAAAGAGAAAGCCTTTGGAGACCTGTACCTCTTTTTTAATAGGGAGATCAAGCAGGAGGGCCAGCTTCCAAGTTTTAGCTTCTTATGTCAAATGGAATCATTGTGTTCTAAGACGATTAAAGTGGTCATGTCAGATTCAAACCCAGAGCCTATTCCAGGGACAGCTTGTGGCAGATTCCCACAGCTGTAGTCAGACCACAGTGGTTCACGGATGTCCTCTGTGACATCCAAGGGCTTTCGGGCTGCACTGCTCATCCTTAGCTTCCTTTGACCTTGCTCTCTCCCACATCAGGCTTCTGGAAGGGCTGCTGATTCCCACACACAACAGACCATCCCTCTCCATGTTGGCTCAGGCCCTTCCTTGTCAGACACGCCCTGCTTGCCCATGTCCTGGCCATCTCTGCTGCCTCCCCTGAACTGCACACTGAAGTTCTTTTCTGGGACTGTCTCCATTCCCTCTCCGTGGGTTCCTGGAAGGAAGGGCCCATGACCTCCTGTGTGACTCCTGTGGGGCGGTGCCTGCTTTTCTCTTATCCTTGTTGCTGCTGCCCTAGGCTCTCAGCGAGGACATTGTGCGAGTGTCCAGCCGGCTGGAGCACCTGGAGAAGGAGCTTTCAGAGAAGAGTGGGCAGCTGCGGCAGGGCAGTGCTCACAGTCAGCAGCAGATCCGCGGGGAGATCGACACCCTGCGCCAGGAGAAGGACCTGCTGCTGAAGCAGCGCCTGGAGATCGACACCAAGCTGAGGCAGGGCAGCCTGCTATCCCCCGAGGTACACCCCAGGCCGCCAGCACTTGTCTGTCTGTCCACCCGTTCTCCTCAGCCACCAGCTCTGGCGCTGCTGGGCGTCAGCCTTGCTGCTGTTGGACAGGCTCCCTCCTCCGTCCTCTGTGTCCTGGGTCCAAAAAGGCAGAGGGTGGGGCTGGTGAGTGCGTCAGCTGCTTGACTGACACAGAGGCCATGACTGACCTTCAGTTGCCTTCGAGCTGGAGCCTGGATTTATGCTCACTAAGAGTATTGAGAATACCATGGACTGCTAGGAAAACAAACAGATTTGTCCTGGAGAGGGTTAAACCAGGTGGCTCCTTGGAGGCAAGGATTCTGAGGCTCCGTCTAACTTACTTTGGACATGTTGTGAGGAGAGACCGGTCCTTAGAGAGGGACATCATGCTTGGGAGGGTGGAAGGACGGCACAGGAGAGGAAGGCCCTCTATGAGGTGGATTGATTCAGTGACTAGGATAATTGGGATGGGAGTGTCAGAGACAGTGCAATTGGCACAGGACAGAGTGGAGTTTAGGGCTGTTGTACATAGGCTCGCTATGAGTCGCAGGCGACTCGACGGCACATAACAACAAGCCCCAGCCACACATGCTTCAACTCCCTGCATGGAAATGTGTGTCACACACTTAATGGACCTCATGGTCCAATGTGCTTCCCCCCGAGGGGCAGAGAAAACCTGGGCTAACCTAAAGCAGCCAGCAGACCGCACAGAGCTTGTTACACACCTTGCCCTGTCCCCCAGCTGGTGTGGACTTTAGGTTTCCTGTGTTGAGATCACTGAGGTGTTCCTCAGTCTTTTAGCAGTGACTGGTTCTCATGCTGGCCTCAAGTAGAGGGCAAAGCTTCCCCATAGTGGGCACCTCTCTCTTAATGCACCAATTCACTTCTTAGGAGGATATTGCCTGCCAAGTTAGAACCAACCTATAGCTGACCCTCCAGTGGGTTTTCAGAGGCATTCAATCTCACTGGAGGAGACTGCCCACCTTTCTACTGCAGAATGGCTGGTGGATCCAAACCACATGAAATTCATAATGAAGCCCATTTACTCACCACTAGGCCACCAGAGCTCCCTTCTTAAGCTGAAGGGACCCATAAAGGCACATTTTGTGGCCAAGTATGGCTCTGGCTGCCCCATGTTTGCCCAGGCCTTGTCAGGGAGCAGGTACTCTGAGGTAGTGGAAGCCCGATGCCCCCACTGTATACACCCATTTCCTTGCAGGAGGAGCGGACACTGTTCCAGCTGGATGAGGCCATCGAGGCCCTGGACGCTGCCATCGAGTATAAGAATGAGGCCATCACGTGCCGCCAGCGAGTGCTGCGAGCCTCGGCTTCCTTGCTGTCCCAGTGCGAGATGAACCTCATGGCCAAGCTCAGCTACCTCTCATCCTCAGAGACCAGAGCTCTCCTCTGCAAATACTTTGACAAGGTGGGTCGCCTCTCTGTGAACCCTGCCTTCTCCTTCTGGGACCTTCCTGTGGGTTCTGATGCTTCAGCAAATGCCTCATTTCTTCCTTGTTTGGGGACAGAATCAAGACCAGCCTGTCTCCATTCCTGCCACTTTAGAGCTTGTTTTATGTAACGAAGCTATGAACTGTTTTCCGTTTGAGGCAAGCTTCAGAATGCCTTGTCCAGATAAGTCCTTCACAAGGGCTTTGCCTCCCAGGGGACAAGTGACCATGTCTAAAGACAGTTTGGGTTACAATGTGGTAGGGGGATGCGCATGTTATAAATCTCTAGGGATGTTGCTAAACGCCCTACAATAAATACATTGGACAGCTCTGCACAAAAGAACTTTTGGGCCTAGATGTGCTAAGGTTGAGAAACCCTGGCACTGATGATACTCCACCGCCTGAGGCTCTAGCCTGCTCAGTGATGGGCTGGGAGTTTGAGGCAGGGATGGCGGTCATTTTCATTTTGAAGGACAACGTAAGCCATTTAGAGGTTGTTGCTCAGAACACTGCTGAGGTGGTGCCTGGGATTCGGCAGAGGAGACTCAGTTATTTAAGGGACTGTCTAGTGGAGGGAACCAGTGGCTGGGCCTGAGCCTGACCTGGCCTTGGCCCAGGTGGTGACGCTCCGAGAGGAGCAGCATCAGCAGCAGATCGCCTTCTCGGAGCTGGAGATGCAGCTCGAGGAACAGCAGAGGCTGGTCTACTGGCTGGAGGTGGCCCTGGAACGGCAGCGCCTGGAGATGGACCGCCAGCTGACGCTGCAGCAGAAAGGGCACGAGCAGAACATGCAGCTGCTCCTGCAGCAGAGCCGAGGTGACGCTGGTGGGAGGACCACAGGCCGTCTTGTTGTGAGGTCTTGGCCAGTCAGCAGTCCACATAGGGCTCGGTCCACTGATCTCATAGGCCCCGCCCCTTCCTAAACCAGAGCGCACAGGCCTCGCCCCTCCCTGATCCAACTCTCAGGCCCCACCCTTCCAAGCCAGCAGCCGTCGCAGGCCCCGCCCGCCCAGTCCAGCAGCCCTCCCAAGCCGCGCCCACCAGAGCTATCAATTCTTGCAGGCCCCGCCCACTCCTGCCCACCACCCTCAAGCTCTTGCCTTTTCTCCCTAGACCACCTTGGGGAAGGGTTAGCGGACAGCAAGAGGCACTACGAGTCCAGGATTCAAACGCTGGAGAAGGAACTGGGCCGTCACGTGTGGATGAACCAGGAGCTAAAGCAGAAGCTCAGTAGCCTGAATGCTGCAGGCCAGAACAGGGGTAAATTCCCTTTGTCCTTGGGCTCTGGTCTGCCTAGCAGCCATGACCTATTCCTTTGTCCTGGGGAGACCTTAGAGACTCCCCTCATTTCCTGAGTCATCACGTAGGCCGCTTGGCAGGGTCACTGCCGGTATCTGTGCCCCATCACTAACCAGGGTGTTCTTGGTGACAGGTGGGGAGAAGAGGACCGTGTGTCCGGAAAACAGACAACTCCCTGGAAATGAAGAAGATGCTCACCAGGCCCCCGAGGTTCCGTGGCAGCACCCCCTCACCGAGGGGGTCCCCCGACCCCGCGAGGAGGTGCGGGATTTGGTCCGCGCTCCGCTGCCGCTGACATGGAAGCGCTCGAGCCTGTGCAGTGACGAGCAGGGCCCTGAGGAGCCCCGGCAGCGGGAGGTGGCCGAGGCCCTGGTGGGCCGAGGGCTGTCTGTCTCGGAGGGGGCGCTGCCCTGGAACCTGGGGGCCCTGCCCAAGCCCCGGCGGGAACTGCGGAGGGCCAGCCCAGGGATGATCGATGTCAGGAAGAACCCGCTGTAGGCACTGGGCAGACCCCGCCTTGCGGGAAGGTGCTGTTACCGCCGTCTGGTCCATCTTACTCCTGGGAAGGCCTTAGGGTCGGCAGCCCAGGCTCAAGGGTTTTAAAAATAATATGCAAATTGCCCCTCTCTCCCTTTAACCACAGCAGCTGATTGCTACCTTTTGGGTTGCTCAAGAATTGTGGGACCTTAGGAAGCCCTGGTGGCCTCGTGGCAAGAAGCTGCGCTGCAGTCCCGAAGGCGTGAGGCTTGAATCCACCAGATGGAGGAGGGGCAGTCTCCTCTGTCTGTCGGATTCAGCTCGATGGTACAAAACAAAAAAGTTGGGGAACCTCAACACCAAAACCTGGTTTCAACCCAAGTGCCAGCTGGCACCTGTCCACATTTTAGGGTTCAATCTGGCTAGTCACAGAACGGACAGTGACAGCACAGCTGTGTTTAAATGGACTAATAATTCTTAAAAATGTGCTGTTACTTTGAGATATATATATATATATCTCAAAGTAACAGCACATTTTTAAGAATTTTTTTTAAAAAGCCCTTTTTATAATAAACAAGAAAATTTCTAAAGGAAAGAATGGGAATTTTCACTTAAGGGTTGATTTATAAGACAATATACACATCCGATTTGGGAAGAGTGGCTTCCTGGAGCATAACAGGCTCGAGCTGTTTTTAGAGAGGTGGTTTGGGGGAGCCCTCAGCCAGGCCCCAGGCCTGGATCAGCCTGCAGTCAGGTCAGTCATGTGATGGGCAGGACTGACCCTAAGGACTGGCTAACTCTGGGCAGGCTTCAAGTGTGGATGTCTTCAAAACCTGTTAGCACTGGATCATGGTCAATTACTCTCATATTGGAACAACAAGCAAGCAACCAGAAGTGATTTTATTGCCTTGCATAGGGAATGCAGAGGACCCTTCTGCCACTCCATGCAGTCTTTCACATTTATTGATGAGGATGGTGCTTTTGTTGATGAAGCATTCCCTATGTCACAGCATCTAAGTCTTAGAGCAGCTCTTTAAGGACACCATTCCCTCTCACAAGTGAGGGAGCTGGGGTGTCCCCTGACTTGCCCAAGGCCAAGGGTGGGGCAAGGCTAGAATCCTAGTAGAAAAGCATCTCAGTGTCTGGTTTCCCGACCTCCCAGGGCACCTGCTACACCATCATCCATCCCTCAGACCATCCTAATGAAGGGCAGATGTGATGGGGAGAGGTTCTGGGGGGGGCAAGTGGATTCCATGAGGAAATGGACAACAAAACAACAATAACTCGGAGCCACTCCAGCCAGCTAGGTGGAAAACTTGATCACAGTAAAATAGGCCACAGGATTGACTGCCTTTCCCTTCAGCCTTAGAACGTTCTTGGTGCTGTTAAGGAGCCCAGCCCTACTACACTTAACTCTTTGGCAGAGAGTCCCAAGGTTGCACTGCACCAGCTCAGTACAGCCTGGGGCCAGATGAGCTGAGTTTCCGGGCACACTGCTAAGAATTCATATGTGGTAAGTTTGGGATTCCTTATGTCCAGAGAGTAGGTCCCTGTCTTCTGACACAGGGAGCACAGCGGCTCAGTGTGTGCTCAGTAGTGTTTGTAGTCTGGTGCTGTTCTAACTAGCTAAACTGCTTCTTCCGTGTATAAGTCCTGCTGATGGGGCGCCTCCTGGTGAGTGCTTGGCTGAAAGGAGAGTCTTCTGTAGTGGAGGGAAATACATCCGTATCCTCATCTGCAAAGAGGCACAGAGATGCAGAATGTAGTCAGTGAAGGCTACACAAAAGGAGAGGGGCCCTGTGTGCATCGTCCCCGCCTGCCCTGCCTACCGTGCCCACTGCCCTAGAGGACTGGCTCCCATAGCAGTTAGTGATTGTGAGAATTCCAACAAATGCCAAATACCTGGGGTTTCAAATTCCTGACTCATGATTTGAGCCTTCCTTTTAGGACTTAGATATGTGGGGGTTTGTGTTTTATTTATAGCAAAAGCTTGGAAGCAGGAGTGGCATCCAATTCCAAAATGGCTTGCCTCCGGAAATTGTATGAACAGTGTTCAGGTCTTTCGTTCATAGGGTCGCTATGAGTCATCTGTGACTCGATGGCATCTAACAACAACAGTTTGGAAATCAGGAAAGAAGCCTCTGAAGGCAGTTTTTGAGCCCTTACCAGCTCCTGCAATGCCCCCCCCCCCCAGTTCTAGCAGAAGGGAACCTCTCTAATGTGCTGTCAACAAGCCAGAACTCACTGTCTCCCAGATGAGATGGGAGAAGGGGCATCCTAGAGCCTGAAGGCCGGTTACACAGACTAAATGTACCAGAAAACATGGGCATAAACCAACTGTGGGAAAGCGCTGGCTCTAATTGTCCACATCATTCTTCACTTCTGCTATTCCAGGACCCGTTTGAGATTACCACAGACTAACAAATATGCTGCAGAATGCTCACTTCTGTCAAACTCCTTGAGGATGAGGAACTAGGGGGGCTGTGACCATGCACAGAACTCTGACACTACAGCTGTCTCTTTGGGAAAAGCGCATGACATGTGGACACAAAACCATTTCAGCATTTTCTAAGGCTCTTCCCAAAGCGATTGTCTGGCAGGCCTGAGCTCTCAGAAATCCCCCACAAACTAATTACCTTTGGGGTCTTTGTACTGAGAAGGCGTCATTCCCTGGAACAGTAGCGGGGACTGGGTCAGTGCCTGGAGGCCGCTGGCCGACAGGCAGCCCCTCAAGGTGCCGCTGGAGGGTGGGGTAGTACCTAGAGAGATTCCACAGTCAGGACAGTCTGGTGCCTCCTCCCCAACACACTTCCCACCAGAAAACATGTGGAAGATGAGCTTAAAAACATGCTCACCTGAAAGGAAGACTTCCTCATCCCCTATGGAGGGGAGCTGCCCCATGCCTGCACCGGGAGACCACTCTCCACTTGCTTCCGTGTCCCCTCTCTGGCGGTCACGGGCTCTCTTGGCCCAGCATTTAGCTTCTTCCTTGGCAGAAAGGCACCTCTTCCTGGAGCCCAGTCCAAACTGGCCCCGTGAGGTGACCTCAACCTTGGGCATGCTGTCCCTGGGAGGGGACTGATCTGGCAGCTGACATACCCCCTCAAGTTCAAAATCCCCCAAGATGTGAGTCTTGGAGGTGCCCAGTTCAAAGCTCCTCTCCTTGCCCTCCAGCTCCAGCTCTGCGCCACTGGCGGGAGGGTCCGTGCAGCCCTCGGCCGCTGCCCTCCCCAGGCTGCTGCCCCCACTGCAATCCACCGCCCGCTTCCTCCTGGGCCAGTCTTTAATCGTGTCAGGAGGCGTCTTCCCATTGTGCTTGGGAGATGGTGTCCAAGGAACCCCGGCCTCTGTTTGTAACGGAGAAGGGGTGCGGAAGGAGGAGCGGGTTGGGGTACAGGACTGGCAGATGTATGTCTGCCCCCCGTTCTTGCCGGGGGTGCTATGTGAGGAGCGGAGGCAGGGGGGTGACATGTAGCTGTTCTCAGATCTGCCTGAGTGCCTGCCGTCGGGGGCAGTGCTCAGACCAGGCCCAGTGTCCACTCCCGGAGGGCCATTTAGGGCTTCTGAGTCTAACAGAGTGCTGAGGCCCATTTTCTTTTTAATTCGAAGCTTGGGGAGGCCTGACGCTTGCATCTCCAGCTCAACCTCGTAGGTCTGTGGGCTGGATGAGGGCTTTGCAGGGAAAGTCAAAGACTGCTGATTGTCTGTGCATGCAACAGCCTGGCCCTGCTTTCTGTCCACTGCATGGTGCAGGCTGGAGGAAGGGCCCAGGAAATAGCTGGACCCAGAGGACGAGGGCGAGGGGGAGGCCCCCGGGTGAGACAGAAACGGCTGCTCGTCGGTAACCACCGTCCTTAATGCTTCCCTGAGTTCCGGTGAAGTGTCATTTCTCAAGCTGTCACTGGCGTGTTCGTTTTCTTCAAGGAGAGTGAGGTAGTCTGCGTCACATGCAGCAAGCAGAGGGGCGGACCCACGCCATTCGCTCCCTAGACCAGGCCCAGGGGAACAGAACCTTCCGCGGGGAGACGCGGCAGAGAGATGCCCTTCCCTGTCGAGTCCCCTACAGTCTGCGGTGGCCATTGGCTCACCAGGCGTGGGGACCACGCGAACACTCATGGGGTCAGCCCGGCGTTCACGGATGCGTCTTTGGGGATCGGAGGTATTTGTGTACCTTTTCCCAGCTTTAGGAGGGGTGAAAAGGGAGCAAGTGTCCAATTTACCCATGCCTGAGATTTTGGGGGGCGTACATGGAACAGAATGTGAGAGCGATGTGGTCACACAGGATGAATTCTGGGGCATTTTCTCATCCTGTTCTCCAGAGGGCGGTGAGAGCATCAAAGATTTCCCAAGTGGGCTCTTGGAAATCTCACACGAAGGTGCGGTAAATAGTTCCTCTAGAGAAGCTGCGGGGCAGGAAACTGCAGGTACACTCTCCGGGCTCTGTGGGGTTCTGACAGATTTTTCCTTTAGTGTCCATCCAGGTTCTGCTGCCTGAGAGGCTCCAGGGTTCTGGTGTGTGCCCACAACAGCCGTTTCTCCTGGCGGGCCCAAGGCTGCTGATTTCGAGGGCGTTTTAAGAGTGTGTCTGACAGGAGCCAGGCGCCCACTCCTAGTCTGGACAGCGAGTGGGACACTGGATGCTAGAAACGAGGTCCTGTCTGGACTGGAAGGCACCGGCTGGGACAAAGCACAAGTCTGCGGAGAATTGGGGGGCCGAGCAGCAGGCTTTCTGGGGGTTCTTGGTATCTTTTTTGCCGAAGGAGAAGCCATTTCCTCTGGGTATCCTTTCTGTGGTGTTACCGTCGGTTCAGCGGATGAATCACAGCCGGATGAGGGGGAGTTCCTCAAGGCTTCCTTCAACAACCCCCGTTTGGCAGGTGTCATTTCCACGGGGAATCCCGGCCGCCTCTCTGGGGTGCAGCATGGAGTCTGGGGTGTCTGGGGGAGCCTTTGTGTGTCTTGAGAAGTGCTTGGGGGTTTGCAGAAATTCTTCTTGGGAGTCTGCAAAGAAAAGTGCTTGGGCATCATAAGTCAGTCTCTAAAGAATGCTTTAACAATCTAGAAAATTATTAGAAAGGGAAACGGGAGTTTTATAGTGAGAGGAATGAGCTGAGTTTGGAAACTTTTGTTTCCCCCCTCTAAAAAAATGACCCAGATTTTACTTTTTCTAGCACCAACTACTGCACCCAATTTTAGTTTGTTTCTTCTAAGAGCAAACAGTTTTACTAATTTGCTTATGACAGCTAAACTATCCTTCACCTCTAACTATGTCGCTCACCTACTCAGTCATCTATCTACTAGGCCCTCTACTGTTCAAACATGACAGCCTCTTCAGGTCTTTGTCCAAATGACCTTCCAGGTGCCACCTCGTGTAACCTAGGCCTTAGGCCTTCCTGGGTGGCACAAATGGTTCCATGCTCCTCTAGTAGCCAAAGGGCTGGTGTTTCAAATCCACCCAGAGGCAGCCTGGCAATCGTCTTCTGAAAAGTCACAGCCTTGGAAATGCTGTAGAGCAGTTTACTCTGCACCCCCGGGGCTGCCGTGTTTCAGAATCACTATGATGGCAAGCTCCGCAGTTGTGCTGAGCAGCTACCATGTGCCAGGCACTGCGGTCGTGTGTGCACTGGGAAGGAGGGGGGAGCGATGTGTAAGGTGTGGTGACAAAAAGAACATCTTGGAAGGGACACACCCCAGCAACGACAGCTCCCTTCCTCTTGTATGCTCTTACTTCATCATCACAAGAGACTTCTTGTTTAGGTGGCTTTTGAGTAGAATATAAATACATGATAATATCAGTATGGCTCCATGTTTGGCTGCTAACCACAAGATTGGTGGTTCAAACCCACCAGCAACTTTGCAAGAGAAAGCCCTGGAGAACAGCTTCTGTACAAAGAACAGCCTATTCTTTTGTTAGAGAAGTCTGTATGTGTTAAATTCATCACTGCTGTGTAAACTGTTTACAGTTTTTATACAGTAATAGTGTACCACCTGCTAGTTATTTCAACTTTAGGAATAAAATTAGATTAAAAGGAGAAAAAAATACAGCCCAGCAAACCAAGCAGCTGTTTGACTCTCATGTGTGGTCACTAGGAATAAAAATCTCAGTGGAACACGCGAATAACAATGATGGGGATGTTAAGGGACATAGACGGAGAAGAGGAGTGAGAAGAAATAGGAAGTAAGGGGTGCAAAGGCACTGCGTGTACTGCCAACACGTGTCCTGATGGTGTAGGACGGGGCTGTGAAGTCCAGGGGCTGGCAGCTGAGGCCAGCCCGGCTGGCAGGGCCTGACTAGAAAAGCCCTTTCCTCTCCGTGGGGGACGTGGACCAGGGTTACACAGATCTTTGGTTTCCAGACCTCTCCTCACAGCTCCATGACCTCCTCAAGCTCTAAGCCGTTTACTGGGTCTCCAAAGAAGGATTATTTTGAACACAAGTTCCATTTCATGAAAACTCAGAAAACCCTGCTTTAGGAGACAGGGAGTCTGTAGTTTTGAGTAGTGGTGAGTTGAGGTGAGCATTTTAGAGATCATCGAGCCTGACCCCCAGGAGGACGGGTTTGAGAGCCAAAGGCTGCTGGGATATACCAGGGAGAACTGATGAAAATCTGAACTAGGGCAGGAATTGCAAGGATATAATGAAATATATGAATAATTACTGTACAATTAGGAAGAGCTATCTGTAATATACAGGTTAAAATGTAGATGATATCAATGGAGTAGAGGGGGACACCGTCTCCTCCCCAAAAATCCTGGCCTCAGCCAAACCTGCTGCTTCTAGTTCCTCTCATATACCTTGGAAGCATTCATCTGAATCAACCCAAATTCTATTATTGTCTAGGAAGCACCTGCTTTCTCTCCCCTAACATATTTTTTACCTCCCTTGGCCATTCCTCTGTGTTTCCCAACAAAATACTATTTTCAATGTCACAAAAAATGTCATACCTGATAAGCTGTAGGTATCTCAGAACCCGGGATGTTTCTTGAAGGCCTTTTAATCTGAGACGAGTCCTTCTGTGAAGGACTAGTCATCCCAGACACTGCACCAAAAAGAAGACTCTTGGGAGACCGAATGCTTTGGACTGGAGAATTTTCTCTTTGACCTACAACTAAAAAACAGTAACATTTTATTCCTTTTCAACTTCTGTTCTTCCAATACTATTTAAGGAGTCCATACAAGAAAGAAAATGGCAATTCTTTATAGCAATTGGGAAGACAATCCCGCTTATCAGCAACTCCAATGACCAGGGTCTGAACTCTAGTAAAAGTGCACATCAGCCTCTGCCTATTAGGAAATGCAGGCAACAGAGGTATGCAGAGAGCAATGTGGCCTTTTGTTGTGGGTTCCCAAGAGGCTCACCTAGGGGCCCAGGATTGACTGGGTCTCCTCTGAGGCATGATGTCACTGATCACGACCCTGTGATAAAGCCAGCAAAGGCTGGAATCAGTGAGCTTCCAGGTAGAAGAGACAGAATTTCTGTCCACAGGAAGGTAGGGTGACCTGTGGGACATGACATGGAAGCTCGGTGCTGGAATCCCTTCCATGCCCTAGGAGCCTCTTCATTGGTACCCTTTTCTTTTGCCTTTGCAAGCATGGTGCCTTCTGTAAGCTCCATGAGCTCTTCTGTTGAATTATTGGACCCAAGGGAGAGGGGGAGAATTACCAATTTGAAATGGAGGGAGTCATGTAGACTTCTGAACTTATTGTGGCTGGTACTCACTGAACCCACCCTGCCCCAGGTAACTGGTCTGCAGAGGGGCTGTTTGAGTATCTGGGCTCTTAAACGAAGAGAGAGGGAAAGTGAACTTACAACAAAGCAACTGGTAAAAGGGGTTGCGGTTTTTTTACCCACTACACAATTTGGCCAGAGTGCTCCCTGGAGGCCAGGATGGTAAAGCTTTGTTTCACATACTTTTTTTTTTTTTCTATAATTATATTTTATTAATTTTCATAAACATTTACAGAGATTTTGGGCTTCCACTCATTCATTGTTGCACTATTGTTTCACATACTTTTGAGTACTTTAATGAGAGGGGCTATTCCTTGGAAAGGGTCGTCATGCTTGAAAAGGTGGACGGTCAGTTAAAAAGAGGAAGACTCTCAAACAAGATTGATTGACACAGTTACTGTATTAATGGGCTCAAATGTGTCAGAGATGAAGAGGCTGGGAGAGGGTTCAGGTGGGTTGTTTACAGGGTTGCTGTGAGCGGCACTCACCTTGACAGCACCTAACCCCCCACCCCCACCCCAACTTGGTGTCAGAGGTGGAGTTCTCAGCTTTCCTTGTCTGGTTTCATACAATTGGTGCAGTGAGCTAGGTTAGCTAGAAAGAACCCTGACTGCTCAATAATTAAAAGAATCTAAATTTGGAGGATATCTCAGATGGGAGCCTAGACCTTCCTCAATTAAGACACCAGAAAACGAAGATCACAGATACAGATGAGAATGCCTGAATCCTGAGTTTAAAAGGAAAAGATAAAAAGTAGTTCAAACAGCAAAATTGAAAAAGAGAATGAATGAAAACATTGAATAAGGAGAGAGATGGAGCACAGAAATGTCAACAGCCTGGACAGATATTTTGAACAGCTATCTGGTCACTGTGGAAGCATACAGACTAGCAGCAACTGAAGGTAAACAAGAAAGACAGCAATGGTACTCGGTCAAACACACACACACACACACACACACACACACACACACACACACTCACTCACTCTCTCTCTCTCCTTACAGCTTTACCCATCAGGCAAGAGTAAAGGCCAGATTCTGCACCACCTGATTGATGAAAGTCTGTCACTAATATTGACCCACTCTGCGCTCAACTGCTCTATGTAAACTATGAACGGAGAGCTGCAAACACTGCTCCTTCTTCTGTCAAAGCCATCAGAATACAGGAGGTGAACACTAAGAATTACCAAAATAGCAAGTGGTGGCACACACTTGCATAGCTTAATCAGATGTTTCAAAACAAAATAATACATAGACAAGAGAGCTCTGGTGGCCTAGTGGCAAGAAGCTGCACTGCAATCCCAGAGGTACGCAGTTCGAATCCACTAGATGCTCTGCTGGAGAAGGAGGGGAAATCTCCTCCTGTATCAGTCAGATCCAATTTGATGGTACACACACAAAAAATAATAAAATAAACAAAACATAGACAACTATAGGAGACAAAAGAGAGCCTAGTTAAAAAAAAAAAAGAAACACAAAATAAATAACCAGAAAACCTCTCATAGATAAGAAAACCTAGAAGAACTTTCTGACAAGGAATTCAAAAGAATGAACACCAAGTGTCTTCTACAGGTTGAGAAGGGAGCTCTTGTGGCCCAGTGGCAAGAAGCTGTGCTGCAACACAGCCTGCAGTTTGAATCCACCAGCTGCTCTGCGGGAGAAGGATGGGCAATCTCCTCTCTTCAGACTAACTGCCTCTGAAAACCTGCCAGCAGGTCAGCTATGGGTTGGTTCTGACTCGATGGTACACAACACAGCAACAAGAGGTTGAGGAAAACACAGAAGAATTTTTTAAAAAAAAAACTACGCAAGATCAAAAAGGAAAAAGAAAAGGAAAATTAGAAGCAATATAAAACCAGCAAATTAAAATTCAGAATATTATTAATTTCAGAAATCACATTGAAAAAGCAAAGAAAGCTGAACTGATACAAAGGAACACTGACTTACTGAAATGCAGGGCACATCTATTGGAAGAAAAAGCACAAAAAAGTAAGCAAAGAAACTGAGGCAGAAGATAATGGGACAACATCATCAGGAGGAAAATTCTGTCAACTAGAATTCCAGAACAGGCAGAGAGGCCACATCCCTCCCCAACTCCACCTCCCCCAAAAAGTAGCAGGGTAGAGGAAATCATCGAAGATGTGCTGGAGGAAAAGTCTCCAAATATTATGAAAAAGGAGAAAATATGCATTTGAGAAGCAGAGAAAGCCCCAAAGAAGGTAGGTTGCAAGAAGGCAATGGGATGACACATAGAAAACTCTTGAAGAAAAAAACCCTGCCAACTAAGAATTCTATTCCTAGCAAAATTGTCCATCAAGCAGGATGGTAAAATTAGGACATTTCCAAACAAGCAACAATGAAGGGAATTTATGGAGATTAGACCAACCCTACAAGAAATACTAAAGGGCATACAAGGGTCAACAATGACAGAAAACAAACTGAAACTAACACATAAAAATGGATCCAGATATGGAAATACACAAAGCATAATAAACACATAGCCCTAAAAGTAAGGAATCAATAAAGGGATCAGTCCATAAATGAAGATAATGACAGTGCAAAAACAGAAAATAAGGAGTGTAGTTATTAAACTTTTAAATGGAGAAGTAGTCAAGTTGATTTTAAAGAAAAAGGAAATGTTTTAGACATGGAATTAAAATAGAAACTTACAAAGTAACCTCCAAGAAAATGAATAAACTTTTTCATCAAGCTAGAAAAGAAAAACTATAAAGACTTATGAAATACCAAAACAACAGCAATGAAAGAAATGATAAGAAAAATTATAAACAAATGAATTCCATACAGAAAAGTAGATGGAACAAAGAACTCATCAACAGCATAAAAAGAGTGGAGAAAAATAAGAGTAAATAAAATTATACCTGTTGATAGATGTACTGAATATGAATGAATTAAATGTGCCACTCAAAAAAAAAGTTGCAGAATGGATAAGAAAACCCAACCTATCAGTATGCTATCCACTAGAGCTACATCTTAGACACAGGGCAAAGATCAATTAGAAATTAAAGGGTAAGAAAATATATCAAGCAAATGGCAATAACAAATGACCAGGAGTGGCAATATTAAACTCTCATGAAATACACTTAAAGGCAATAACCAGCATAAGAGAGAAGGAAAGGCATTGTATAATGATTAAAAGGTCAACTGCACAACAGAATTTAAAAATAGTATCTACATTCAATGACACAGATACAAAATTTCAAAGATATTAACAGAGAAAGGAAACACTAGCAGACGTTAATACTTCACTTTCATGAAAAACAGAATGACTAGAAAGAAACGCAACAAAGACACAGAACAACTACACAATTAACCAAGTAGATTTCATAGACATATAAAGAACACTCCATTCAACAATAAATATATCCTTCTCCAATGCACATGGAACATTCCACAAAACAGACCATCCTCTTAGGTCACAAAGTAAAAACATGTTCTAAATTTAAAATCATAGAAATACTACATAGCATCACCTCAGATTACAATGCTAGAAAATGAGAAACTAATAGGAAGATCACAGAAAAATAAGTGCAAGATAGTAAACAGCAACTTGCTTAGACACTAGAAGAAGAAATGAAAAGGAGGAAGAACATATGAAAAAATATCACCTTCCACATTTGATACTTTGGTGTAGGATCTGGCCCTATAGTAGATATGAGTAAATGTGGAATAATCCCTCTAAAAGAAATGAGTTACCAAAAGGGAAAATGTGAACAAACAGTTGTAGGAGTTTAAAGAGATGACTCAATCTTAGCAGGATTATTCATAGTCATTGCCTGCACCTTAAATACATATCATGCTTGGAAAGATGGAGAGACAGTGAAGGAGAGTAAGACCCTCAACCAGGTGGATTGATACAGTGACTGCAGCAAAGGGCTCAAGTGTGTTAGAGACTGAGAGGATGGTCCAGGATAGGAAAGGGTTCAGATCTATTGTTTAGAGGGTCGTTAAGAGTTGTACTCAACTCGATAGCACCTGATAATAAATAAAAATTTTAGAACATTTTTCTCTAATAATCAATAACCCTTTGGCAAGTATTATATTTTAGAATTTGTTCCCCCAAAATACTTGCCGCCAAGCCTGCAGGGCTTGCGAAGGTGAGTATGAAGGTGGGTGAGTGTGAAGATAAGTGAGTAAGGATGTTACCTGGCTTGTCATTTTGGAATGAGTGAACTCTCTGCACACTTCGAGACTTCGGCTGAGATGCAGAATAGAAGAACTCGGAATATGTCCTGTTGATTAACAGCTGTTTGATTCGAGGACTTCGTCTCAAATTTAGTTCTATGAAATCAGAATCATGGTTAGTAATGAGGTCTGCCATTTCTTCATTTGTTAGAAATGGGAAAATATGATGTGATACCAAATATAAGAAAAATTCCAGATGAGCTAGAAAACAAGTTATACAAAGAAACTCCCTGATGCACTACTGTCATGTTCAATTATAAAGTCCCAACTCCAAGCAAGATGAAGGGCAAATAAAGGGCATGCAGTTTTCATAAAAATAATAAATACAGGTTTAATGTATAACAATGAATACACATGTATGTATAGCAATAATGCTAGTAAGCATACACTAAAATGTTAAAAGCATCTATAAGTTATGGGATTTCAAAATCTTTACAAAAATTAGCTTCTCTGTATTTTCTGATAGCTACTATAAACCTAAATTATTTGCACAGTTAAAAATAGGAGGTTGTTTTTTAGCTACTTTCAAATAAAACCCCACTGTCAATCTAGAGTCAATCTCAACTCAGAGCAACCCTGTAAGAACTGCTCCGTGGGGTTTCTAAAGCTATAAATTCTTACAACAGCAGCAGGCTGGCTCGTCTTCCTCCCGTGAGATCTAGTGGATCTGAACTGACAACCTTCTGGATTAGCTGCTCAATGCAACACTAAGGCTCCTGAACTTTCTACTTTTATATAAGGCTTTTATGCTTTGTATAAATTAGTAAGTTCATGTTTCTCAAATCTCATTTCTACTGGGTGAAAAAGTTTCTTTTCCAGAAATTCTCTTAATCAATTTGGTATCATAGGACAATCACCTATAAACACATACTGAGCTACAACTGTGGGTCAAGAGCTCCCATGATTCTTATAAACGATCTTAAGACATGTTGGGTGAAAAAAACATGCAGAAAAATTCTTATAGGAACTAGATAAAAATGCAAAAAAATAAACCAGGTATGAGTAATGCTCACCATTTTCTCCTTTTTCAGGGGACTCTTCAACAATTCTAATGTCAGGGCCAGGATCAGAGGACCTTGAGGATGGACAAGTACAAAGGCAAGGACAAAGTCCTTCATAAAAAACCCCTTAGAGACCCAGCTTCTCAGTAAGCAAAGGCTATACAGCCCACAGTGTTTGGTACCCCAGAGCTGGCCAGCCCTCTCTACCTTACTGTTGATTGTAGCATTTGTTTTTTGGGTTTATTTTAAACCAGCTTTGCAACATGAAAATTAATTTAAAAATAGGTATACCTTTTAAACCATCAATTTCACTCTTAGTAATTTAACTCACAAACTCGCACAACTGTGTAGCACAACATGCAAAGCTAATGTTAACGTGGAGTCTTGTTCATAAAGCAGGTGTATTTCTTTCTGTTCCTTTTGCTAAAGGCAGCGAAAAATCTGGACTATTATGTAATTAAATGAAAAGAACAATAGACTAGGAGTTTGATAGGCTTTTGAAAAAAGATTAACAATTATTTTAGCTACAGTAAATCATCTAAGCCTCCGATTCTCTATTGACACATGGTCACAATACCTATTTTATCTGCTTCTAGGGTTAAAAGAATAAAAAGAATGGGTATATAAATAAAACATGGTTTATAAACTTTGAAATGCCCTACCATTGTACCCTGTGACATTACTCTTGCTAAGCTGAGGAACCCTTGTTACTGTCCAGTCCCCAGAATTTATAGTACTCTCTCTGCTTATAACACAGTTAAGAAAGAACTAATACAGTAGAGACGTGTATGATGAAAGTGAGAAGACAGATCTGCAAGATTTTCTGAGCTGTGCAGGTGCCACTTACCGGCCCTGGATTTGTCGATGAAGCAGCCTTTTGGAGATCTGCTTATGTTCTGGAGTCTCTGCCACACTCTTAGTCAGCAGTTTATGATAATCTGAAATATGAAAACATTGTAGCATACAAATGTCACTTAACCTTGTTAAGAAACAGCAAGGCAACAGTAGCAGTTTGAACTTACACAAGACTTACTTTTAGTTGGTAGATCTTAATGGTCTGTGGGCCAGCATCCAACCACAGGACTCAATTTACCATGATAAAATGGGTTATTAGAAGTATTAGAATTTTTTTTTAAAATAGCCTATTTAAAAATACTATAAATGATCAACTATGTAAAAAAGGTTGCTTTTATTAGGACTAACGTATTCACCAACAGAGTTGGTTGTTCTTGTCTTTATGAAAAAATGCAATAATCAGTTGCTACAGAGTTGATTCCAAGTCTTATTGACTTCACGGGTGTCAGGGCAGAATTGTGTTTCATAAGATTTTTAATAGTTGATTTTTTGGAAATAGGCCTTTCATCTGAGGTATGTACATCTGGTTGGACTTGAACCTCCAATCTTTTGGCTAGTAGTCAAATACATAAACCATGCGTACCACTCAGATAGGTGCACTGTCCAGGGTGTTTATAATAAAGAGAGATAGTAGCAGGTGTTGGCAAGGATGTGGAGAGATAGGAACCCTCATATATTGCTGAAGAGAATAAAATGATGTGATTGCTTTGGAAAACAGTGTGACAATCTCTCAAAAAGGTAAACACAACGTTGCTGTGCAACGTAACTATTTCACTGTAAGAATGGTGACCCATTGTGGACAGTGTTTGGTGGAGCTCCAGACTGATTCAGGTTTGGAAGCAGGAGTGGCATCCACTGCCTACACCACATGCCTCTGGAAACTCTATGAACATAGAGAAATGATGACAGTTATAGAACAGGGGTCAGGTTTTTTATCATAGGATCGCTATGAGTTGTACTCGACTTGATGGCACTTAACAACAACAACAACAACAATCTACTCAATAGCTTTAATAATGTGTTTAAAAGCAAGATTAATAGTAGCCAAAAAGATGAATAGACTAAAAAAAAATCTGCTAGTTGGAGAATGAATAGGTAAAATATAGCCTTGCAATGGGATATTTAGCCACCAAAAGAATGATAAATTGTATATATAACAGGGATGAAACATTATACTTGAAAACATTATACTAAGTATAAAAATCTAGAAACAGTAGACCACAAATACAATTCCCTGTCTAGAAAGTCTAGGATACAGATATTTAGGATAGGCAAATCCATAGAGACAGAAAGTTCACATTGGAAACATGCTGAATTCAAGAAGGCAGTCACAAAAGGACCACATATTGCATGATTCATTAATGCAAAATCCTTGCAATAGTCAAACCAATAGAAAGCGGACTGGTGGTTGCCTGTGGTGGGGAGAGCTGGAGAAAATGGGAAGTGACTGCCAATGTGTCCAGGGTTTCCTCTTGGGAGGAGGAAATGTTCCGGAAGTAGATAATGGTGATGATTGTACAGCTTTGTGAATGTACTAAAAACTATTTGAATTGTACACCTTAAAGGGGTGAATTTTATGGTATATAATTCTCTGAACTTCTTAAAAAAATGGAAAAGGAAAAAAATATTAGAAAACAAGTGGTTATAGCATAAAATTTGAGCATTATCCTTTATTTTTAATAGGTTTCATTCAATAGATGGAAGAGAAGTGTCAGCCGTTGGGGTTTCCTGTTCCTTTCTGCCCTGAGGGAGACACTAGGCTGCAGCCGGAAGGGGGTTACTGCTGCCCAGCAGCTCAGGTATGAGCAGGTCTACCCTCCTGATGTTCTCTACCCCTAGGACAGCTTGGTAGATGGGCGCATTTTTGACACCTCCCTGGCCCAAGACCCTCTGGCGATAGAACTTGGCCTAAAGCAGGTGACATCAGGGCTGGAGCAGAGCCATCTGGGCATGTGTGTGGGAGAGAAGTGAAGAGCAATCATTCCTTGTCACTTGACCTGAGGATTCCCACCATCTATGCCAGCAGCTGCAGTGTTGCAGTTTGGTGTGGAGCTAATCGCCCTGATCCAAACCAGCTACTGGCAGAAACTTGTGAAGGGCATTTACCTCTAGCAGGCATGGACATGGTGCCAGCCCTCTGGGCCCTCACTGGCTACCCCCTGTACTAAAAGTCTAGCAGACCCAAAGTCTCCAAAAAGAAGTTCAAGGAAGAGAAACGAAACAAGAGCAAAAAGAAATAAACCATTCAAGGGAGCTCTGGTGGTCTAATGGCAAAGAAGCTGCACTGCAATCCCAGAGGCACGCAGTTTGAATCCACTAGATGCTCTGCTGGAGAAGGAGGGGCAATCTCCTCCTGTACCAGTCGGATCCAATTTGATAGTACACACCACACACACACACAATAATAAAAAAAAAAACAAAACAAAAAAACCCACACGCATTACTTTTCAAAGACAGTAGGAAACTGGGGGAGGGGGGAGGGCTGGGCAGGGAGAAAAGTGCAACAGTGAATGAATGGAAAGCCAAAATCTCTGTAAATGTTCATTAAAATTATTAAAATAAAGTCTAAAAAAAACTACAACAAAATAGATGGAAGAAAATGTGTTGGTTTTTTTGTTTCTTTAAACTGGAAACTGGTCTAAAGAATAATACAACATAGGATATATACCCATCACCAGTTTAAGAATTACATCACTTAAATACCTTTTTCTTCAGTTTAATTTTTTTTTTTACTATATAGAACTTTGTATGCCAATTACCAACCATCTGCTTACTAATTCCTCAAGACCCCAGAAGCACTCCCACCTCGGACATCATTATCACATGGAATGCCCATCTTGCTCTGTTCTCTTAAAATATTCTCTTTCTTAAGAACTTAAAGCCAACTTCTTCCATTAAACTTCTCTTGATAGTCATGGGTCAACGATTCTCAACTGGGAATGACTCTTAACTATGTCTAGAGACACTTCAGGCTGTTCTAATGGCAGATTTAAGGGAGTGAGAATGGCATCTAATGAGTAGAGGTCAGAGATGTTAGGGAGGCTGCTAAACATCTCCCAGTGCACAAGGGAGTCATATCCATCTCCCACCCAAAATCTACAAAAGCCCTAAATCCTCCCTCAATCCTGTTGCTGTCAGGCTGGTTGTGAATCATAGTGACCCTAAATCCACCCAAACCAGCCCACTGTCATGGTCAGCTCTGACCCATGGGGACCATCCATGGGGTGGTTCAAGGCTATAAACCTCTCTCCTGTGGAGGGGCTAACGAATTTAACTGTCAACCCTCCAGTTAGGAGTCCAGTAGGTGGGGCATCATGTCAACAAGTTCTGGTGGCATCGTCCACAGGCAGATGTAACAACTCACAGGTGGTACCTCTGGCAGTTCACCCCAGTGACTCTGTGGGAGAAAGATGGGCAGTCTCCTCCTGTGTGGGTTATAGTCTCTGAAAACCTGAGAGATGGTTAGCTACAAGTCAGTTTAGACTCAACAACAATGAAGGTGAGAGAGTGACTTTTAAGTGCCCCTGTGCTGCCAGTGCAAGGTACATGGTTCAAACCCACCAGCTGCTCTGTGGGATAAAGATGGGCAATCAATTCCTGTGAGACTTACAGGATCTGAAGACCCACTGGTGGGTCTGCTATGGGTCGCTTCTGACTCGATGGTACACAACAACAACAACAACACAGGACAGGAAAGACCTGTTCCATAGGTTTCCAGGCCTAATCTTCACAGAAACACAGTGTCACCTCTTTTTCCCCATGGAACAACTAGGAGGTTTGAACCAACAACCTTTTAGTTAATAGCCAAGCACTTAAACATTATGCCATCAGGGCTCCTCAAAAATTGTCCAGCCCAAAATGTTATTAATTCTGAGGTTAAAAAAACACCAAACAAACCTCTCTTCTCTAGGCCTTAGTGATTAGTCTTTCCTTAAACTTCCAGTAATTCCCAGAGGTGGTTGTGACTCAGAATTATGTACAGAGTTTTCAAAATTCAGAATCCCTGCTCTTATCCTAGGATCCAGTAACTCAGAATTGCTGAAGATGGAGACTTAGAATTTGTATTATTTTTTTTAAAGTTTCCCAGGTGGCTATGAGATGAGGTTACTGGGTTCAAGGCTTAAGACCCCAGTCTTGTGAGATAACCAGGTCAACTAGCATCATGTTGTTCATAAAGTTTATATTCTACATCCTGGTGTGGTGAGTTGCATGTCTGCTGTGTCCACGAGTCAGAACCGCCTCAGAGCAGACCCTCCAGTGGGTTTTTAGAGGCTGTAAACGGCATGGGAGGAGAATGCCCATCTTTCTCCTATGGAGCAGCTGGTGGATTTGAACAGCCTGCTCTTGGGCTGGCAGCACAGCTCCTTACCAGAGCCCCCTGGTGAGTAGTAAATGGGGTCTTAAGGTCTGTGAGCAACCACCCAAGCCACCATTGTTGATGTTTATTCATCTGGAGCAAAAAAAAGGGGAAACAAAGACTCAGAGAAGAAACTACACTCCAGGCCCGACAGCCCTGTGAACTGCACGCGGGCACCACTGCTGGCTGTTCTGACCTGACATGAGAGATGGTCCCAAACAGAACAGGAAGAAATGGGATCAAAATGCAAATGTCTTAAAAAAAAAAAGCCAGATCTACTGGACCAAGAGTCAGAGAGGAGCCCTTGAGACTGTCACCTGAGACACCCTTACATATGTAACTGAAACCTTTAGGAAGTCACTTTTTAAACAGCAGGCTGGCTCATAAAATGAACAATATTGGTGAGCTCTGGTGGCCTAGTGGCAGGAAGCTGCACTGCAATCTCAGAGGGGAGCAATCTGAATCCACCAGATGCTCTGCTGGAGAAGGAGGGGCAATCTCCTTCTGTACCAGTCAGATCTGATTTGATGGTACACACACACAAAATAATAAATTTTTTTTTAAAAAGAACAGTATCACTAGTTACTATTCACTCTTAAAAAATTATATGAAATCGAACTGCCAACATTTATCCTAAAGCAAAGAGGGAAAGACTGAGAGGAGAGCTCAGCTCATCGCCTCTGGGCTGGAGCTAATGCCTTGCTGACCCTCAGGCAGCCTTCAGAGGCTGGAATCGCACACATGGGAGACAGTCCACCTTGATCCTTCACAGTGCCCGATGGGTCCCAAACACCTGCCTCTGGTTGGTGGTGTGAGAGCTCCACTGGGGGCAGGCGAGAGACCCTACATAAAGGGAAACAGAATAGTCAGCATGGAAACAATAAGACTGTTGAAACACCATGGAGAAATGTAACTGGTGTCACCCAAACTGCGACTAAGTCAATGCTGACACGGGGTGACCCTCCTGTGGGGCTACTGAGGCCCTAAATCTTTACCATAGAGACGGCCTGTCTTTCTCCTTTGGAGCTGCTGTTGATCTGAACATGACGTTTCAGCACAACACATTATATACGTCACCAGGGCTTCTTAAAGGATATGTATAGAAACTGTTAAATGGTGGGTGTAAAGTACCAAAATAATGGTTAAATAAGAAGAGAGTTCCCCAGGTGATTCTGATATTAGCCAAGCAAATGGGAATGGCCCATTCTTCTCAACAACTGAGCTAAATTTCATACTGGTCTTTTGTTTTTTTCTCCCCAAAAAAGGGTAGACTGTATCTTAGAACCCTATAAATCCTCAATAGCCAGCACTAAACAACATTGAAAGATTTTCTTTGTATTATGACACATTCATTTCCATTTTCTAATTCATTCACAACAGGAAATAAGTAGTCCATATCACTCATATTCCTATCTGAAGATGTAAAACAACACAAAAAAGGATATATTTAGAGATTTCCTGAAAGACTCAGATACCCCTGCCTGAGAGCTGATGAGCGGTGAGGTGAAGGTCCTGCAGGGTACAGGCCCGTCTGGGGGTGCAGCCTCTGCAGACCTCACGGGCCCACTGGAGGGGTCAGTCTGCAACAGAGGCGAACTCTCCAGTGAAACACAGCTTAAAAGCTCTGCACTCCCATCTTACATCACACTAGGAGCAGGGAATAGAGATAAGAGACAGCCTTTCAGAAGTCTATCCTCTCATATTGATAACTTATCGCACATTACTTCTCCATGGTGATTAGATGAAAAATCCTACACCTGTAAAAGGCCTACAGCTGTGTCAGGAGGAGGAGCTAGAAAGGAAGCTGGAAGAGATCAGGAGAGAAGAGAGGGGACTGACGTAAGAAGGTGGTGGATTTTCTTCAAGGAGTTCATGCATTTTCCTTCACTTCAAGGCAGAGAAATCCCAAGAGAAAAATTACCTGACAGCAACCAAAGAGGAGACAAGAAAACAGAACGATACCAAATGAGCTTCTTAAAAAAAGTCTGGCAACTCATTTGGCCCTGAAAGGCCACTGCTCTCGGTGCTCCTAAAATACAGTACCTTTGGCCCTCCTGAAGTTTTCAGGTTTATACTCCAGGCCCTCCACAGCTGACACGGAATGGCTTCGAGGCAACCCCCGCTTTAAGGATTTCTTTGAAGGAGAAAGTATTCCTTGGTTGAAGAGATTTCTTCGAACTTTGGTCACTTCTGAAATTGTCATAAAAAGCTAAACGTTATTACTAACAAATGCCACATCTGAGAAAACATATTATCTGCCAAGATGAAACACTGTGGTAGGAATCTATTCGAGAGACTGACCTCTATATTCACATCTCAAAAGATTTTCTTTCCCATGGTGCATTAAAATGATTTACCTCTTCAAACCCAATTAAACCTAACTTTTCTGGAACACAAGGAATGCTCACATCACTTAAATAAAGAGCTTGAGTCATTGTAAAATGGGTATAATCTTAAGGAAGAATGTGTACAGCAGGGTCCTTAAATACATCCTAGTGTAATTATTCTTCTCACCTTGAAACATCTTGGCAAGCTGGTTTTCAACACACCCATAAGTATAGAAGGTCAATTCCACACATTTCTTTCTTAGAATCATTTTACTAATTTTCTAGGTTCTTTTTAAGTCTATTCCTGACTCCAAAGAATGAATGAGTTCTATGATCATTTAGACCCAAACTTAGGAGACACACAGCTGAGAATCATAAAAAGAGTTAGCTAGCAGGGTAGCATTTTAAACAAGACGGTCTAGAGAAGGCTACTCAAAAATTCACCAAAGGTGAATTCTCCTGTGAGCTACTAATTTAAAAAAAACCGAAACCAAAACCGAATAAACTAGGACCTACAAACTGGGACAAGTACTCATGTTTATCCACCAGTGATATAAATGTTAATGTAAAGGACATCAGTAAAATGTATCATATCAAAGCTTCAAAAAATCAGTTTGTTCCTCCTCATTACATGAGGTCCTGCTTCCTGACTTAGGATGCCTGTGCCACTTACTTATGATGTAGATGTCATGGTCAATTAGTTACTTTCTCCTCCAACTTTTTAAAAAAAATATGCAATATCTTCAGTTTCAAAAACTACAATGAACATATATTCATCAAAATCCACCAACAGTATATTTACATTTGTCCCCTCACTTCTCTTTGTGTGTGTGTGTGTGTGTGTGTGTGTGTGAGAAAAGTTTATATTTAGAATTAGACCGCTGAACTCAGTTTAGATGATCCAAATTTTGTTGGCAACATCCAAAGCATCATAATCAGGAGGAAGTCAAACACAGGCCCTCTTCTCTCCATCAGGCCTGATCAAGGTTCTGACCTCGGCCACATCAATGTCACAGAGCTTCTTTACAGCTTGTTTAATTTGGTGCTGTTGGCCTTGACATCCACAATGAACACAAGTGTGTTGTTATCTTCTTCATAGCTGACGCAGTGGTCAGGGGAAATTTGATGATGGCATAGTGGTCAAGCTAGTTTCTCCTGGGAGCGCTCTTCCTGGGGTATTTGGGCTGCCTTCGGAGTCTCAGCGTCTTAGGCCTCTGGAAGGTGGGTGATGTGCGGATCTTTTTTTTTTTTGTTGTGGACGCCCTTCAGGACTGCCTTCTTGGCCTTCAATGCCTTTGCTTTGGCTTCAGTTTTGGGAGGGGTAGGGGCTTCCTTCTTCACTTTTGGTGCCATCTTCATAGAAAGCTCAGTTCTCTTTTTATACATATACTATACTTTGACTTCTCTATATTTTAACATGTATCTTTGAAGAACAAGCCATTCTCCTACAGAACCACAATGTCATTATTATACTACAAAATGTTTCTAACATTGATATAATATTATCTAGCATACAATCTATATTCAATTTTCTCTAATTATTTCAATGATATGCTTTATAACTTCCCTATCCTCATATTTAGAACCCAGACAAGGATCACATGAAACATGTCATTGCAGGCTTAAACATGTTCCACATAAAACCGTTCTCTCACTTGAACACATCTAAAAGTTTCTTCACCTTTTTTGTCTTTCAAATTTTTAATTTATTCTTTCTCAGTCTCCACCCCCAACCCTGATGTCAGTCCCATTCTAACAGTGGCACTATGCAGTATTTGTCCTTTTGTGACTGAGATATTTCACTCAGCATAATGTCCTCCAGGGTCATCCATTTTGTATACTTCATGAGTTCTTTGTTTTTAATGCAGTGTAGTATTCCATTGTGTGAATATACCACAGCTTCTTTATCCATTCGTTTGTTGATGGGCACTTAGGTTGTTTCCAACTCCTTGCTATTGTGAACAAAGCAGCAATAAACATGGGTGTCCATATATCTGCTTGGGTAGAAGTTATGGTTTCTTTGGAGTATATTTCAAATAATGGAATTGCTGGGTCAAATGGTATTTCTATTTGGAACTTTTTAAAAAATTTTTATTATTTTGTGTGTGTACCGTCTAATTGGATCTGACTGGTACCTGAGGAGATTGTCCCTCCTCCAGTAGAGCATCTGGTGGATTTGAACCATGTACCTCTGGGATTGCAGTGCAGTTTCTTGCCAGTAGGGCACCAGAGCTCCCTTATTTGCAACTTTTTGAGAAAGCACCATACTGCCTTCCATAGTGGCTGCCACCATTTTACACTCCCACCAACAGTGAATAAGAGTTCCAGTTTCTCTGCAACCTCACCAACATTTGCTGTTTGCTGCTCTGTTGAATTTTCTATTCTTACTGGAGTGAGATGCTATCTCATAGTTGTTTTGATTTGTATCTCTCTTGGAGCTAGGGATTTTGAACATTTCTTCATGTGTTTATTCACCATCTGAATGTCTTCTTTGGTGAAGAGGGATTTTGAACATTTCTTCATGTGTTTATTCACCATCTGAATGTCTTCTTTGGTGAAGTGTCTCTATTCATATTCTGTGCCCATTTTTCAATTGGATTACTTACCTTTATCTTGTTGTAGTGCTCGAGTATTTTATAAATTCTGGATATAAGTCCCTTATCTGATATGTCATTAACAAATACTTTTTCCAGTCTGTGGCTTCCCTTTTTACCCTGTTGGAGAAGTTTTTGGATGTGCAAAGGGATTTGATTCTTAGAATATCCCATTCTTCTATTTTATCCTCTCCTATTTGGAGATTTTTCAGGATGCTTGGAAGACTGTTTATGTTGTGGATCAGGATTTCTAGAGTTCTTCTAAGCTTTTCTTTAATGAAATGTCTATTTGTCTTTGGTTTTAGTACTAGGTCCATGATCCACTTTGAGTTGGTTTTTGTGTATGGAGTGAAGTGTGGATCTTGCTTGAGTTTTCTACAGATAGTTTTCCAATTTTGCCAGTACCATTTGTTTAAAAGGCTGTCATTTCCCCACTTAACTGATTTCATCTCTTTGTCAAAAATCAATTGACCATAGGTAGATGGCTGATTTCTGGATTCTCTATTCCATTGATCTATGTGTCTGTCATTGTGCCAGTACCATGCTGTCTTGACCACCATGGCAGTGTAGTAGGATTTGAAATCAGGAAGTGAGATGCCTCCTACCTTGTTTCTCTTTTTAAGGAGTGCTTTGCTTATTCAGGGCCTCTTTCCATTCCAAATGAAATTGGAGATTGCCTTTTCCATCTCGTTGAAGAATGGAATTGGTATTTTTATTGGGATTGCATTGAACATGTAAATTGCCTTTGGTAGTATTGCCATTTTCACAATATTGAGTCTTCCTCTCCATGAGCAAGGGATATTCTTCTACTTCTCAAGGTCTCTTTTTGTTTCTTACAGTAATGTTTTGTAATTTTCTTTGAATAGATGCTTTGTGTTTCTGGTTAGATTTACTCCCAAGTATTTAATCTTGTGATTAGCAATTGTGAACGGTATTGCTTTTCTTAGCTCCAGTTCTGTATTTTCTTTTTCACTGTAAAGAAATCCAATTGATTTTTGTATGTTGATCTTGTATCCTGCCATTTTGCTGAGTTGGTCAACTATGTCCAGTAGTTTTCTTGCTGAGTCTTTAGTGTTTTCTAAGTATACTATCATATCATTTTCATATAGAGATAACTTTACCTCCTCTTTGCCAATTTACTTCCAATACCATATTGAATAGGAGAGGTGATCGTAGGCATCCTTGCCTAGTTCCTGTGTTCCAGTGGAATGCCTTTAGTCTCTCTCCATTGAGAACAATGTTGGCTTTCAGATTTGCATATATACTTTTTACTATGTTGAAGAAATTCCTCTCTAATCTTACTTTGTTGAGTGTTTTAATCAGGAAAGGGTGTTGAATTTTGTCAAAGGCATTTTCTGCATCAATTGATAGGATCATGTGGTTCTTATTCTGTGCTTTGTTAATGTGATGAATTACTGTTTATTTTTCTTATGTTGAACCATCCTTGCATACCTGTTATGAATCCCACTTGGTCATGGTGAATTATTTTTTTGATGTATTGTTGGATTCTATTGGCCAGGATTTTATTCAGAGTATTTGCATCTATGTTCATGAGAGATATTGGCCTATAGTTTTCTACTTTGGTGGTGTCTTTACCTGGCTTTAGTATCAAGGATATATTTGCTTCATAGAATGAGACTGGGAGAATTCCATCTTTTTCTATTTTCTGAAGTTTATGTAGAATTGGTGACAGTTCTCTCAACGTTTGATAAAATTCACTTGTAAAACCATCTAGTCCAGGGCTTTTTTTTTTTGCTGGAAGTTGTTTTATTACTTTTTCAAATTCTTCCTTTGTAATGGGTCTGTTCAGGTGATCAGTTTCAGCTGGTGTCAGTTTAGGCAGATCGTGAATTTCTAAGTATTTATCCTTTTCCTCTAGGTTTTCATATTTGTTTGAGTAGAGTTTTTCTTAATATTCCATTGTTAGTCTTTTTATTTTACTTGGTTCTATTGTGATGTTGCCCATTTCATCTTTTATTCGATTATTTGTGTCTTAAGATCTCATATGAGTTATTTTGTAGAAATCTGTGGAGACCATATGAATATCTTGTTTCCTTATTTGCACGTATCTTATTAACCAAAAATTAAACCACAATTTATAACCATATACAGTTGCTTAAATACATGCAGCCTAAAGAAATTGATCATTATGATGACTAAATCTTTATACTGAAGAAACAAACAATACCTTGTACTCTCTCTTTCACAGGGAGTGGAGGCTGCTGAAGAGTGGAGTGAGAGTTCTCCTGAAAAAATGAAGAAAATCTGGTAAGAAAAATTTTAAGGGCATTAATTTAAAATAAAAATAAAAACACATCCTAAGAAATCCTTTGACGTTTGTCGTTTTATTTGTAGGAATCTGTAGTTGATACACAGTTGTAAAACCTACAAAAATAAGTACAGGTTACATGAACAGTAGACTCATTGCTGCAATATTATAAAATACAAAATAACAAGCATCCTAAATATGTAAAAAGAGCAAGCCAATGAATAAATTGATAGATCTGTCCAGTACTAGTTTTAAAAGGATCATAGAATAATAGAGACTAATATAGAAAAAGGGCTACAATGTAGAGAATGTGAGAAAGAGTCAAGAGTAGAATAAGCAAAGGCAGTTTGGTTTGCCACTTCAAAGTAATAAAAGTTGTGCGTATATATGTTGTATGTGTAAAGGAGGTTGTGTACATGTCTGCTTACGCATACTGGTATATAAGGACCTGGTTTAGAAGATACACCATATGGAGTAGTCAGTGATTACTTCTGAAGAACAGATGGAAAGGCATATGAGATTTAATTAAACAGAAGAAATCCCAGGGAAAACCCAGCCATGTGAATTATAGAGTGGCTTTAATGGGACATTAGTGGTTCAGTACTAGAATTCTCTTCTTCCATGCAAGAGACCTGAGGGGATTCTTGGTTCATCTAAAACAAAAGCTCTAAAAGAGTCTAAAATTTAATGAGGAAGCAAGGCAAATACCCACTAGCTGTTCATTTTGGATCTCACACTGTCTAGTCAGGAGAAAAGACTGAAATTGTCAATGATCTTCATTTACTTGGATCTATAATCAACACTTCAGAAAGCAGACAAGAAATCAAATGACGTATTCCATTGGGCAAACTGCTGTCACGGACCGCCTTAAAATGCCAAAGAGCAAGGATTATCAGTTTAAAGATTAAAGTGTGCCTGGCCCAAGCCATGGTGTTTTCAATTGCTTCTTATGCTTTTGAAAGTTAGACAATGATGACAGAGGAAGAAATGTTGCTTTTACATTGCAATGTCAGCAATGAATACTGAATACATATCGTGAAGTACCAAAAGAACAACATAAATCTGCCTTAGAAGGAATTGAAACCAGAGTGCTCCTTAGAAGCCAGGATGGTGAAATTTTGTTTCACATATTTTGTTCTTATTATCAGGAGGTACCAGTCTCCAGAGAAGGGCATCATGCTTAGAAAAGTGGAGGGTCAATGAAAGAAGGAAAACCCTCAACAAGATAGATTATACAGAGATTTAAACAGAACAGAGACTGTGAGGTTGGTGTAGGACGGGGTAGAATTTCATAGGGCCGCTTGAGTAGAAGCTAATTTGATGGCATCTAACAAAAACAATAGTTAGGATTCCAAGGTAAATTCAATTTGTCTCTTACTCACGTATTACGGTCAGAGGGAACGTTAAAAGAAATTCCACAAAACAGAGCCAACCTCTATAGTAATCCTGAATTACTCATAAAACTGAGATGGCTGATTTGTGCAGCTTAGAAGTAACAATGCATTCTTACTCTCTTTTCTCTTAATGCCATTTAGTAAATAGATTCAAGCTGGGGATTTTTGGTAATAAAACCCTCAAATCCTTGAATTTAATAACTACAGAAAAAACAAATTACTACCAGGCCTTTGTGGTGTCAGTCTTTGTCCAGTTGTTACTGTAATGAAAATTACATCCTGGAATGCAACCAAAGTCCTAGTAGGACTGCACGTTCCATTTCACTGGCCTCTTTGCTTATTTTCCATATTGTTTTATGAATTTTTCTTATCTTAAAGATTTTTAACAATTTGTTCACTCAAGTTTTATTTGTTTCCTGCTTTGGTTAATCTCTGAACAAATTAGTTTTTTTATTCCCTGGATTAAAGTTTGATCCACATTAGTAAAAAATGTTTATTTCTATATCCACTCCCCTAAAAGTAGAGACGTGACATTTTTATTTAATGCAGCAATTCAAGCCAGAACATAAAATTCCTTGCTGGAAACCACTCACATTTTTTGTAGCTTTCTTGGGCACTTTGGGAATTTCAATTTGTCGAAGAGCCTGTGAAACTTCTGCAAGGCTTTTATGTCTGATTAATGCATTTTTCCTAAAAAAAAAAAAAAAAAAAAAAAAAAAAAAAAAAGAAAGAAAGAAAAAAGTCAGAGATGTACTAGACAGAGGTTTCAAGTAGTTAAACTATAATGGAACTAGAGTTAAACTATAATGGAACTAGAGTTTAAAAGAAAACAAAACCAATTTTTCTTGTGGATGGCCTAGATTTATATCCCCCCACAAATTAGGGAAATCTATGAGAAAACTACTAGAATACACTCCCAAGAGAAAGTACTAGAAAATCAACTATGAACAATTTTAATGATGATGAAAATGAAAAATTGAGCCAGAAACTCAACACGCCTAATTTCTGCAAAAGCTCTGTGAACTATAAAAGAGATACTAAATATTATCTAAAAAATACAGAACGTCAGCTGTTGAGTGTTAATTCAGAATGCTACTGCCTGGCTATATAGACAGGAAGATAACTATTCATTCAACAAATTATAAGGACAATGAAAATTGGACTATGACTAAATACAGCCTTTGTCAGGCTTACAACTAACAGTGTGAGTAACTCCTTTGATGACTACCTTCTTTTCTTAGCTGATCGGGTACGAAGCTCCTCCAGTTGGTCAGACTCGGTGCCAGCTGGCATTGATTTGTGAGCAGGTGGCACAGAAAGGTCTGGGGATTTGCTCTCCTGGGTCATGGAGTCATCACTGAAAAAATCTGTAGGCAGGGCACCAGCCAGCTTCTGAGGAATCTGAAAGCCGAGGCAGTGGTAGAGACTTCCCAGAGTCCTCGGGATGGAGTCAGTGTACCTGTGACACACAATGGTTAACTACGGAACGGACAGCCACCAGGCACCCACTCTTATCTCCTATGAGATGCAGTCCTTACGACTCCATAATTCTAGGATAAGTCATGGGCAGCCGTTGGTAAACTAATTTTAATGTGAATAGCCATCAAACTTACAATCCCAAAATTTCCTCCAGAAACTTTGCTAGGTATGCTGGATCCTCAGTCAAAGACACCATGCGTAGCAGCTCCGCCACCTGAAAGAGACTGTGAACAGTCACCCCACAGATTCCCAGGCAAGCTGACTGCATCTGCAGCACAGCCCAACACACTAACTACAGACTTGCCTCCTCCACTAACTGTTCCGCCTCATCTGTGCTTTCTTGTAGTAAAGGGCACTGCAGACACATCTCCAAACGAAGAAAAACTTGAAGCTGACACCTTTAAAGAGAGAGAGAGGAAAACACAACAAATCCCAAATGAAAAACACTCAGTCAGATCAAGTACAAGTGTCACTTAGCCCATTCAGGGAAAGCTGCTTTCTTAAGTACAGAGCTATTTGTTTAAGAAATAACAGCATAAAAGAAGGGCTAGTCCCTCCTCTAAATCACTGATATGGTTATTAGGCAATTAAAACTGCACATTACAACGTCATAAGGAATTCGGCTATATAAAAACCCTGTCAAGCAACTGGAAACCTACTTTTAAAGTTGGCAGGTCAAGTTTGGAGATTGGCTTCAAGTAATTACTTACTCTATGACTTTGGCTTTCTTATCCAGTTTTTTCCCTAGATTCTGTCGGAGACTTTTACTAGTTTTTAAGAGGTTATCTTTTACTTTATCCAGGCATTTCATCTGAAAAGAAAAAAATAATTGCATTAAAGATAAAATTAAGTTCTGTCATTATTTCTAAGGAATCCTGGTGGCACACTAGTTAAGCACTCAACTGCTAACTGAAAGGTTGTCGGTTCAAACCCACCCATCTACTCTAGACCTGGGGCCCTTTTCCTCCAAAATTATAGCTAAACCTCCCCTATGGAGGAGTTCCACTCTGTCACATGGGGTTACTCTAAGGCAGAACCAACTCAAAGCCACAATGTTATTCCCCCCCTTACAATGTTATTTTTAATTTCTTTTACAGCAAGTACTTTTTCAAAATAGGAAGGCACATTCCCTTAAAAATTTGTCCCTTCTTCCATTTGAATGAAAAATAGTAAAATATTCTATCTTTTTAAAAAGAACATGGTAAGGAATTACTTGTGAACAGTAATAAACACAGCAAGACAGCAGATCTGAACTCTTGAAAAAGGCCACAATGTGAATGATTAAGCCTTGTTAAGAACTACTATTTACTATAGAAAAGTCCAGTTTACACCATGAATAAAATAATAATAATAATAATGATGGCACAGTCTAAAACACAGTGGTTTGCTACACTCCTGGTACATAAAAATCTCCTAAGAAGCTTTTGAAAAATATAAATGCCCAGGTCCCAGTACAGAAAAATCTATTTCTATTGGCCTGAAAGCAGCTCATTAAAAAAAAAAAAAAACAAAACACAAAAACAGAAGACCTACGTGGTATTAAAATGTAGTCAACTTAAAACCACTGATTTAACTCATACAACTGACATGCAGCTCAGACAAGGACACAGCCTTCATTATCAGTGACGCCCATGCAGTTACAACCCTCACGTCCCTCCCCTGGATGCCTGCCAGTCCACTACATCCTATTTCCAACATCTGAAATCCTCTTCTCATTGGTTTTTTTGGAATCAAGTACTTTATAAGAGACATTTTCCAAGACATACAAAACAAACCTGCCAGCCACCAACTATCCATCACTCCTACGAAAAAGCAACATCTCAACTCTCTTACCTCCAAGTCCTCGGTGCCTTTGGATTTCAGGAATGTTTTAAATGTTGAGACCAAATTCTGAGCACAAGTAAACAATGAGATTTCATCAGTGGTCACAGCCTTTTGATAACTTTCATGTATGTAAGATAGTAGGTCCTCCTCAGTTTTAAAATCTGTGGAGGGGAAAAGAAGTAAAATTATTACATTGAGGTGAAGCCCTTATGCTGTCAAAGCCAGAGGTTGTCAGCTGGGAGAGATTTGGGCAATGTCTGGATTATCATGACTGGTGGGATGAGGCGGCAGTGGTACCAAGTGGGCAGAGGGCAAGGATACTGCCAGCAGAACTGAATGAGAGATGACGTGAACGTCACTGCCCTGAACACAGGGATATTCTGCCCTTCCTTGCAGTTCTTCCACATTCTCTCAAAGCTTTACTAGTACACTAACCATGTTCTGTGAGTGGCACCTATGGATCTAAGATTTCCATTGGTGTAAGAGTGTGCACGTGGAAAAAAGGACACTCTCTTAAGGTGCATAAAACTTCTAGAACTCACAGGTAACTGCAAGTCATTACTGTCTGAAGTTCATAACCTATCCTGACAGTCATCCCGCAGGACTGGTGCTGTGACTTAAGAATGCACAGTGGGGAAAAAAAGGTAAAGGAAAAAGAAGAGAGAAATAAAAGAGCAAATCCCCCTGCACATTTTGGGAAGACCTTGACAATCCACTTACTTATGAACACTTTACCCCTGTCTCTTTATTCCCAAATGTAAAACTTGACCCACCCGTCCTGGGATTAGTCTATCACCACAGTTTTGCTTACACTAACCCCGCACTCAGGGAGCTCTGGCAGACTAGCGGTAAGGAGCTGTGATGCAGTTTGAAGCCACCAGCTGCTCAGCAGGACAAGGATGGACAATCAGCTTCCAGCTTGAGGGTCAGCTATGCTCCAACCCAACAGCACAAAACAACAACCCTCCACCTGGAACATCCTTTTACTCTGTGGCCATCTAAACTTTGCTCCCTCTTCTCAATCTAGCAAGGCTCCACCGGTTCCTCTGAGACCTTCTCAGCCTGCTCCATTTTCTCCCGGGATGAGCAAGTATTTCTAGACTATTGGTTCTCCTTTGTTATTAATTGCACCTAGTGTCAGGATCATAAATTTCATTAGTTAACTGGCACAATCACAATATTTACTGTCTTTCTCCAAAATACACTTCTAGAAGAATACCTTTAGCTTTAGAACTCCTTAAGGTTCTCGCTCTGTCTTCTGATCTATCTGCTGTTCTTCCAGCTGCTGTCTTTGAAACTCTCTTTTCACCCACGGCATCTGGACTGCCATCCGGATGGAACTTCTGAGCTTTTACATTGAACCTTGCGACATTTAACATCTTTAAGGACCGACACATGCTATTCATCTTCCGCCTGACTGGAGTGCGAGGGACACTGCCTACAAAAACAGCATCATGGGAAGAAAGGTGAGATAACCTTCATGTCTACAGAACCAGGAGTAACTTTCATCTGGGTTACTGACATGACTCAGATCCCCTCGGACGGAGCTGAATTAGGTACTTCTTGCGTCTTTCTACTCCTCAACACTTAAAGGGAAGTTTAGAGTTCCAAAGTCTTAACAGAACTAGGGGTTTCGTGCATAATGCAAATTGCGACAGACTCAATCCTACAGCCTAATGATCACAGGACTGTGAGGCAACGCTTTTGAAGGACAATTTAGAAAAAGGAAAGACAGGCAATTTAACAATCTGAAGAAGAGGCAGTTTTTCATACTCTATAAGAAATTTATGTTAAATCACTCAAACAAAAAAATTACATGCATGATGTACATTGTATTTATAATAAAAAATTAAACTAAATGGGCAACACGAAGAGTTTATAAATTGCTAAGTATTGAGGTAGAATAATAAGTAGCAAAGCAAGTTGGTAGACAAACATTTACAGAAAAAATAGCAAGCTGTATTTAAAGTTCTACTATACTTAAGAAGGAAAATGGCTTGTTCTTAGGCAGATAGGATAAGGGGCAATTTCTTACAAACATTGTACAAATGCATTATTTCTGAACTTAAAATATGGGAATTTGGCCTTTAGTCGGCTACCATTTCAAACTAATTTCAGAAATTGTATAGTGTAGGCATTTAAAAATGCACAGTTATCAAAAAACGACTGTCAGAAGAGATAGCCTTCTGGGGGCTTACGTTTCCTTTTGCTGTCTTCCTGATTGGCTGCTGCAGATTCTTCCCGAGTTTTTCTCTGGTAGAACTCAGAGAGGTGACGTGTTAGTTCATTTTCCGTTTTGGAAGGCTCTTCCTTATTAGCTGAGGAAGCCTGTAGTAACCTATGAACAGACCAAGATGTATAGGAGGGAAAAATTTTGACTCCCCACCCCTAAATTGCTTTAAAAACAAACAAAACAACAAAGTCCACTATTCTGTGCAAAGTTAACCAAATGGTGTTCCCACAAGATGCCTTCCAAAATATATTTTCTCAGGAGGAAAAAGTCCTCATTTCTAATTTGAACAAAATCAGTGACAAAAGCTATCTTGTACATAGTATCATTAAACATCACACAAAAGATTGAATTTTACTAAGAGAATTCTATTCTGTATATCTAATATGGTAAAAATTGTGATATGATATATCCAGTTATTTTCTGTTTCCATGTTTTAAAAACTAGAATGAAAGTGAACAAGAAAAACTTTCATCTTTTTTCTAAGTTCATAGAGTTTCCAGAGGCAAGCTATTTCAGAAGTGGATGCCACTCCTGCTTCCAAACCTGTTTTAATTCAGGAGCTTCACAAAAACCAGGCCCGATATACACATAATACATAGACATAAAATACAGTGTATATATAGTGCAATGATTTCTGAACTATAGTCCACTACCTTGTATTATACTAAACTAATTTGGAATTGCTGATTGCTGCAAAGTGGAGGGAATGGGACAAAGAATTATCTATTAAAGTGTTTTTCTATCTGGAGTTCATTATCAAAATGGCACAACTTCCAAAACTGGTATTTCCATGTCTGTATTCAGTATTTCTATTTCAATATCTTCTATTGTGTGACAACATCTAATTGAAATGGAGGAGAAAGTTATGGTGACATTAGTGGAACTGACATTACAGGCCAGAGTATATATTAGTGAATCTATTAGAATATATATATAATTTATACATAGAATCTATTAGACTTTATATGTATTGGGGACATTAACTGAACTATATTACAGATTAAAATATATATTATATATTAGGGACAATATACATTAGGATATGCATGTAACATTTTTGAAGCAGATTAATCTAAGTGTTGTAAACTTCAAGTTTTGCCTGTTTTTTAAATTTTACTTTTAATTTTAAAACAATTAGCTTTTCAAAGAGAAAATTTAAGAATGCAATGTTGAAAAGTATACAGTATATACAATATTGAAAATTAATATAAAGATTGAATCCTGCTAACCTGTATTTCAGAAGTTTTATACTAATTTAGATACTAATATTCTGTTAGTTATATGGATTGCTGTCTATAGCTAGTCTTTTTAATCATGTAGAAGTTTTACATTTTATTATAATCAATTCAATCTTTTCATTTCTCTTTCCCTTTTTTGGTCTTATTTAAGAAATATATCCATAATCTGAATTTTTCTTCTAATACTTTTAAACTTTACTTTTCACATTTAGGTTTATTTTTTTTTTCACATTTAGTTTTTAACTCTTGGGAATATATTTCTGTGTATGCTGAGGAAGAAATCTGGTTTTTATTTTTCATGTAGACAGATAATGAACCATTTTCTTGAATTGTCTCCTCATTTCCTGTTGATTTATAATGCTATCTTCATATGTGGGTGACCTTCTGGGCTATTTTGTTGCACTGGTTTCTCTGTCCAGCCTTCATGACTTATTGACTATAGCTTTGTGGTAAATCATGATATCAGATAAGGGAAGGTGCATCTGTCTTATTCTTGGCCCTTTATACTTACCCATCATTTGCTACCCTTAATAACTGTTGCTGATAACATAAATACACTTTTCCACTTTCTTTGTTCCTAAGGATTCTAATTACTATGATGAACTTTTATAAAGTTGTTGATGGACTACAGGATTACTACTGACTAGTCCCTAAGGAGCTGCACTGCTAATTCAAAGATTAAGCCTGTCTGGCTGTTGGAATTGATGAGCATCTCTGAGGGAGAAAGACAGGCAATCACCTCCTGTGCAACTTAAAGCCTCAGAAACCCAATGGAGGGTCAGCTATGAGTCGGTTCCAACTTGATGGCAATGAGTTTGAATTCTGAGGTTTTTACATGGACTTTTACACATTACTTTTTATATCCATGAACATCAATGAATTTTTTTATGCTTGTTTATTTATAAACCAATGAACTTTCTTATCAGTTTAGTAATTTATAGAATCTTTTTCATTTCCTATGAAGCAATCCACCAATTGTCTGTCTGTCTGCCATCCTATAGCAGTTTGGTGGTATAAGTAAAAGCTATGCCACTGATATTTCAAATACCAGCAGGGTCACCTGTTATGGACAGGTTTCAGAGGATCTCTCAGACTAACACAGACCAGAAAATAAGTCCAGCCATCTACTTCTGAAACAATGGGCCCTTGAAAACATGAACACTGTCAGAACATCATGGGATTTAGTGTCAGAAGATCTCTCAAGCAGCAGCTGCAAACATCATTGATAACTGAAATATGGAATGTGCCAAGGAATCTAGGAAAATTACCGTTGTCAAAGACTAAATGGAATGTTTAAAGGCCAATTCTCTTGGGCACTAGTGAGCCGAAATAGACAGGAATTGGTAATTTTTTTAATCAGACAACCATATGGTCTATTAAACTAGGAAAGGCAAATTGAGCAGGAATAGTGTGTCACATTCATCAAAAGGAATATCTCAAGATCTACCCTGAAGTACAATGCTGTCAACAGGAGAATATCCATATGGAAACAAGGAAGATGACTATGATTAAACTATAGCCACCAACCCACTAAAGACAAAGACATTGAGAATTTCTACCAACATCTACAGTCTGAAATTGATTAAAGATGTCTTAATAATTGGTGATTAGAATGCAAAAAGTTGGAAATAAAGGAGGACTTATAGTTGAAGGATAGGGCCTCAGTGATAGAAACGAGGCCAAAAATTATAGAATTTTGTACATCAGCAACTTATTCCAAATACTGTTTAAAAAAAAGAAATTGAAAATATATTTTATAAAAATAAATGTTTTTTAGTGGTTTGAATCCACCAGAGACTCCGCTGGAAAAGGAGGGACAATCTCCTCCT